GAGAGAATCTAGAGGAAGTGAGGTTCATCGCACCTTGTTTATTGTTTCTGCTTACGCCCCAACTGACTGTAGTTCTGAATCTGCCAAGGACAGTTTCTATGACGCTCTAGGTGCCCTTCTACAACAGGCTAAAAGCTCAGATATCGTTGTGGTTGCTGGTGATATGAACGCTCAGGTAGGTAGACTAAGCGCTGCTGAGGCCCGATTGGGTGGTCGTCTTGGTTTGGACACGAGACGCACGGACAACGGAGACCGGTTACTCCAGATGTGTGCCGATCACAGGCTGTTCCTTTGTAGTATGATGCCAGACTCGAAATCCACTCAAGTCTTCCAGCATCATTTGTACCAAAGGCTTTTGTTCGTCGGATTCGGTTGGATCCCAACCGAAGTCAGCCTCGATTACTTGAAAGATGAACATTATCTGCAACCGATCGATCGTACTGGTAAAACTCATAACACGGATGTTGCGATGCCAGCCATGATACAAACACTCAAGTGGGCTGATTGGAACGCGATGGGAGCAGCTTAGGAGGTCGTCATTCTTTCGATGTTCAACGCTGTGGCTGTGCACATCGCCCGGTACAACTGAGTATGTACAGTAGAGTGTTGTAGTCTAGTACCAGTTCCATGCACAGTTTCCTCTAACGTGTCACTTGACACAGCACTTTCCGGCAAATCCAGGTTTCGGCGAGCATTTAGACGGAATGGTCTCTTATGTGTACCGGGTCAAGTCAGCATAAGCGGACTGTAAATACACCCAACTAGTTTAGTTATCCTGAAGGCACCAAATTAGATTGGGAAATATTACACCTCAGCCAATGTCGTGCGCTTTTACAACAGCCTTCTTCCTGTCGTATTGTTTTGGTGATATCTATTCGCAAAACGGACAGTCTGAAGTGTGCGTACTTTACGATGCACACTGAAGCAGGACCGTGTAACATTGGTTTTCGCTGAAAATGTGCTTACAGCAATTTATGGCTGGAAAGGAGGGAGTTCTACGAGCCGAAGCCAGTTATGATCGTTTACATAAGTCAGCGTGGCCCACTGTTACAGTCCGTTTTTCTGAAGAAAACTCCCACCTGTGCTCCAATTGCCACGTGAACCAGCTGGTGATAGCGGCCAGTGAACGTGTGTGCTGCCTCAGCTTGCTTCGGTCCATTATGCCTAGGCTTTGTTAGCTGTATAGCTCGGATGCGCCGGTACGAAGCCAATTACTTGATGTTTAAAACCCAAAAAGGCAGTAACCTTTCCTATGCTTGTCTTTTATGAGTGTGCATGTCTTGGGATCACCGTCGACAGTCCTTTGAGGACAGGGCTCCACGTTTCCACCTTTTGAAAAGAAGGAGAATCTCACGGGCCGAGCTCATTAGGTGACCTTCCGTCAGTATCATCATCGACAGCATGACATGCTTCACCACCCTCAGTAAGTTCGCTTCTTAACCACTGAATGGGAGGTGTGCCAGAACGGAGTCGATTACGACTGCCAATTACGATTACAAGGGTTCGTCATTATTGGGTGATAACTCGTAGCACCAGAACTTCAAAATTACTTATGTTTGGGTTGGATTAGATTCTTTCATCCCACTCAGTTCATGGATCGACGGTTACCTGTGGCTCAACCACGCGTATCCATCTTCAGACCTGTCTTGCTAGAAGGTGGTCTGCCTTGTACAACATGGGGATAATCCGCGCTGAGTCCCCTACCATCTGTTTTATTCAACCAAGAACCTGACCAAACTTGGTTTTCAGTGTATGGCCACAATTTCGGTAAAAAAGACGTCTTTTGATGTTGCTTTCAGTGGTTGATGATCGTGCGAGTTTTTCGTCCGCAAACTATCGCAGCATCAGTATGATGCCCGTCTCGTCTACCTAGCTCGTTAGCACTATCTTACACAGATTGTTCATCTTTCGAGACAGATCAATTTATGAGCGCTGGAATCGCCCCAGATGCGTGTTCCCTTTAGAATACTTGTGGAAAGCACCATTCTTATGATTACCAATCCCGAATGCTGCTCTTGACTGTCGATCGCCAGAAACTGCGGTCGTCGTTTGTGCACATCTTGCCTCGGATCAGCGGGCATGGACGACCGCAATGCGTTATATTAACATAATTGAAACACGAAAAACAATCTCAAGTCTTATCTGCCTCCTTTGAAGTTATGTGCATTGTTTGAGGTATAAAGGGGGCAACTTCTTTATAAGATGATAGCGACCTTAGCTATCTCGTCACGCGATTATCAACCGCATTGTATCCGTTCGGTTACTCTTATTCAATAGCCCACCGCTCCTCTTGTGGACTTATTCTTCTGAAATTGAGGGACATGTTGGTAGCTTAGATTGCATAGATGGCTGCTGTTCTGTTCACAGAACGTGGAAATTTGCTGAAAACGTAGTGTCACTCTTTCAGATGATATCCTCTTCGTCGGAAAAATCGTCCAAATGTAGCACCATTTCGGTGCCTGAGCGCCATGCCATCAGAAGGAAGCACGAGGGCTGGGATACTGCCAGGTTGCCCAAGCTTAGACGGGGTTAGCCGAGAGGCAGAGGTCAAGTTCGAATCACAGACCTCCCGGCCAGTGAATTCGCGCCCTAACCACTGAGTCATTTCGCCATCTTAATTGAACAACTCAAAATGAACCATTAAACTGGTCGGCTGGTAAAAGATGATATCCAGAAACCAACAGGACAAAGTTCATTGGGTGCAATTCGCAGACTTAAAGGTGAAAGTTCCTCCGGAAGTTCGTCAGTCGCACAACGAATCAACCAGCCAACCAACAAGATCGATCATCCGACCGACCACAATGAAGGATCACCCCCAACGAACAATTCGTGTATAAACCTGAACATAGCACTGCTGTTCCTTGATCTGAAAGCTGCTTTTGATTCTGGAACGTCAGGCACTGTCAGTGTCTATGGAGCAAAGGTGTTCCCCATAAATTCTTGACCCTCCTTTAGGCGTTCTACACCAACTCCCGCAGACGCGTGAAGGTCTACGGTGAGCTCTTGCCTGAGTTCACCACATCGAGTGGTGACAGACAGGGCTGTGCTCTTTCACCTTTCCTTTTCGACTTCGTTATCGATACGATCATTGAAGACTCACTACCAGTTTAACATGGGTTTCACACCTGTAAAGTGTAAAGTGCTACTGCAAGACTGGGTAGACTCGAACTCTAGCCCCATGCTTGCGGATGAACCAACTGGGGTAGTAGACAAATTTATTTGCCTGGGCAGCTGTATCATTCCCGATAGTCTCGCGAAAGATGATATTTCCGTTCGGGTTGGGAGGGCCAGCGAAGCTTTTTTGAACTTGCGTCACCTGTGGCGTAGGTGTGACATCAGCTTTTACATAAAGGGCCGAGTTCACAATGCTTCCGTGCGCTCCATATTACCATACGGATCAGAAACCTGGCCGCCGCTCGCCGAGGACGTCAAAGTGTCAGTGTTTGACCATCGATGTCTTCAGAGAATTGTACGAGTTTGGTGGGAACACCACATCAGCACTGTTGAAGTACGTCGAATGGTATTCGGGAGAAATAGATGATCTGATTACTGCATAGGTTGCACTGGCTTGGCCACGTGTTCCGCATGCCAGTCGACCATTTTCCTCGAATGGTTCTTTTCGCGCCACTACGTGAAGGGTGGAAGAGAGCCAGAGGTAGTCAAACAATGACTTGGTGGTGAAGTGTGAAGGCCATTACCAGCAAACTTAGTTGAGCTGGTTATTGCCATCTCCCTGGATGGAACCCCGATACGGGCCATATCAATGGTCAGAGACATTTTCAGACATGGCTCAGTCGTGCCCTTATGACGTTCGTGCAACCAGGCTATTGCCTTTAATGCATAGCTCCCTTCCCGATCCCCCCACGTAAAAATCCACTGACAGACCTGTATTTATTCACCAATTTATCATTTCCCGCTTCCCATGCGCAGCTACCTACCCCACCTCCCCAAATCATTGGTGGACGAAACTGTGGATGTTGCAACCACTGCACAACAAGTACCCGGTTCGTACAGCTGACACTGACGATGATGATGGTGATGATGATGATGATGGTGATGACAGGACTGATGAACATCCCCAAGACGACTCAGTGCCATTCTACTGCACTGATAGTATTACCTGAACAAAATGTCTGCAACCAAACTGCCAGTCTGAGGAACAGAACGACATTTGCCTTCCGATATCTTTATCCTGGTTTGCTTTTCACAATGGGTTGCAGGATGCAACGGCAGCCATAATGTTTACAGCATTCACGGTTGTTAAACAAAAGGACCATTATTTACCTCTGGTATGTATTCGTGAAAATGGCGACGACTAACTGGTGAAAGTTTCAAGCGTCGTGAGATATAACCAATCGGCGACATCCCTGGGAATTAGTGATCTTGAAGGCTATAGATGGTGCTCTTTTGACTTCAACGAATTGAGATGGTTTGACCCGGTGATGCATTATTTTGTCTTCTTCACTTTTAGGTTAGCTCTCATCCAGTCGCCTCTGCCGCCGGTCCACTTACTGCTTACCTTTTTGCGTGAACTCAATCCATGGCATAGGCCGCTGCAATGAATTTTGTTCGGCGTCGTCCTGGAAACGATCACTCTCGTGAAATACCATCGGAGTCTTCCGCAGAATGTGCCCACCTAGGACGACTTTTCAGTCAATATAGGCAAATTCAAGATGTTTCTGAACAGGAGCAAATGTTTTACGAGCTACTTCCGGTGTTTCATGGGGTAAGGCAGTGTTCCTTGTTTGAATCTTTCAGGTCCTTGCGAACTGTAAACCCACCGAATTCATTGAAAAGTTCCCCGACATCCATGCCTTTTGTTCTCGAGCCACTCAAATAATTGTAAAAGAAATTAAATCAAGAGCCTCTAATCAAACTTCTGGTTAGTTACAACTTTACGTTCACTGATTGCTTTCAGAAGAGGGAAGTCGACAGATATTTCTCTACCTGGAACCTCCTGACCGTGTTCCATATGAAAAGCCCTCTGAGGCGGGATCAACGGATATTACACCACTAAACGTGGAAAGTCGCGGTTGGAATCTGCTTTCTTGTCTGAATGTATTAAGCAGTGGACATATGAGCCTTATCGAGTGCATGGTTGCCGCCTCATTGCCATCCACCTTGGTGAAGTGTATGTACATATTCCTGGACCTTCCTCGAGCACCTAACCCGGAAAAAGCGTGCACATTCCAGTCGACGTTTAAACAGGTGTGTACCCCACCGTTGTATTCAATTCATATGGTAACGTGAGTGTCACTTATTACGGTAGGTTATGAAAGAGAAGTTCAGCAACTAAACAAAGATTGTTAGTTGCAACCCATCCCCATGGGGACTTTAATCCGGGTACTAACACGGACTAAATTCCGCCGGAGAATATTTATGTTTCAAATTCATACCTTACTTTTTTTACTTACTTACTCTTTTTTCTAGGCTCAGCAAAAACTAAATTTTTATGTTTCCCGCGGTTTCTGTTATGTGTTGACTTAGCATCGTTTCAATTTATAAGAAGAAAATAGCTTGAGAAACCTGTTTGAAACATTTCACAGACCCTTTAAATTCTTTGAATAGCCATTTACGCTCGAGTGGCACTAGTATTCTTTTAGTCGCCATGAAAATGTGCTTAAATTTCTATATCATCCCGGTGACAGGTCATTTTTCTAAGGAGCTTACATGACCGGGAGAGACAAGACTCTCCTTGTCCAATGGTGGTATCGCGAGGGAGGGGAATACCATACTGATGTGCTGATGTTCTTGCTGACCTGGAAAATTCTTTTGTGGGCACAGGTCAACAGTAAAAACTAACATTTCGTTTCTGTTGTGTCTTGCTAAGCGGTAGTACAGCTCTGTATCGCTCCCTTGGCTTCCTGCTCCGCCCACTATGGTATATCAAAAGGCACGGCAGCTCTACACAGCCCCTTATGAAGACTAAGGAAAATCATTACAACTGTATTTATAGGGTAGTCACAGTGTTCCACAAGGTCGTGCCAGAATCTCCGTGAGGGGGCGAGAAGCGTCGAGTCAAAGGTGCTCGATCCGGACTGGCTGGTATTCTGGCGAATCACAGTATGCCTTCGTTCGGTCCGTGTCCTGCACGTGACACATCCGTCGAAACGATGTGATGTTCGGTTATTAGAGACACTAGTTGACAGGATTGTGCAAATTCATTTCAAGAGAGTCGAAAATTGGTGGCACAATGCTTGCTTGACGAATATATGCAACAGTGAAAGTTATCAAACATCCGTCGAAACGATGTGATGTTCGGTTATTAGGGACGTCTGGCCTCCGGACAGTCCCCTTTTTTGTCACTGCGCTTCATGTGCACAGTTTAGTTCCATACAGGTCATGGTGTCGATTACAAGAATAATAAGGACGATGTGTGGTTTGAAGCGCATTTGGAGTTTTCATTAAGGTTCTCGTTTGCTTGCAAGTGCAGCACTTTGTCGCAGTGTTTCCCCAAGTCGTCCTTTGTTTTCCATGTAATTGCGTTTTTCCGGGTTGTTTTTACGTGTGATCGTCCGTACGCTACGGTTAAAAGCCGCAGTCATTCCATCCTTTAACCGGAAAATGCACTAATAGGATTGGAGGGTTTTCTTCTTGGAGGCAATTAGTCTGGATATGTATTTTGTTATTTAGGACACACTACAGGATAGCGTTGAGTGCTTTATTCCCTTGAAGTGTTTTGCTGATTAATACGGTGGGCTACAATCAGCAAGAGTATTATGAAGACGTTCGTCGTCTAACGATCCCAAGTGCCTCACGATAATATTTTCAACAGGAACGGAATGTTTTATTCATCTAGTGCCGTCGATTTTTCTATGCAATTGTGAATGTACGGCCGAAATGGCTTCGATAAACTCTCACTTTTTGACGGGGTTTTGACTCACTGAACTGGCAACCAGCTGATGAGAAAATGCAATCAGTGCTTCTAATGGAGACTATACCTAAGGAACTACAGTGGTTTGACCACCTGCCCTCTGTGCACTTGTTTATCGAAGTTCTCGGGCATTTAACCAGCTACTTAACATTATGAGGTTTGCGATGCCATTTTAGCAGATTGGAGAATTACTAGTGCATATATGCTAGCTTTAGTGTTTACCATTGTTACCGTTTTCACTGAGTTTGACTGAATCTTCGGTGTCGGTGAGTTCACTCAGTATTTGGGTTTCAAATCGGTGAATTTGCTGTCAGGCCAGATGTTTCCATAATAGTTTTTTTTTTCAAATAAAACAGCGTCATTTTATTGTCGTGACACACCGTTAATCAAACAGCGTCATTTATTGTCGTGACACACCGTTAATCAATGTTGACGTTGCTGTCTATGTTGACGCTAACGGTATCAGTGTAATGTTTTCATCGTAGCCACGTCGAGCAGCTTTACCGATTGTTCCTTCATTGTCTTATGAGCACAACGGCTTCAAAAAGACCTTTTTCAGGAAAACGGAGACCGGTGCTTTTTCCTTGACAACTCTGATTATAAGGTTGGTTGGCAACTCTCCGTCGAATTTTTACTAGTTTCCCCCCTTTTGGGACAAAACAAATGTGAATGGTTGATTACATACAGTCCATTGTACCGAAAGTCTTTGAAAAAGGTGATCGTACACCCTTGAGCTATCTTCCACCTAACATTGGCAGGCCAGTCACCTGTCTTTTCCCCTAACAAATATCGTTCATCACTTTTCCCTCTGACCAGGTACGTTCAGCGTCTTTTTTTACATTACCGGAGTGCGGACAAATGATTAGTGCCTGGCCGTCCCCCATATGTAGCAACATCGCTGGGGGTGTCGTAATGTCTAACCGACAGACTGCATGATCTCTTGAAAGATTCACTTGATATCTACACTATCGAGCGTTCTGCGTATCGTTACCAAACTAATAGCTGCCTGCAGTTTTTGCTAGCTTGCAGTTTGCTAGCCGAGCTTGGTAGTTGGATTGCAAAAGTTCCATCACTAATCGAGGTGACATCATCAGTGCGCAGTTGAGCGGTTAAATTCCTCGTCATCTGTCTGTGCTTATCCCTCCAGTCTTCAGAATCTGGTTTATGTGTTCCGTGCTTACTTCAGTTTGCGGTTGTCTGTTGTCCTTGTGACGTGCTTACCGAAGAACGCCAATTTTTGTCCTTCTGTGTTCCGATTGTGAATTGGATATAGGGGAACATGTTTCACACTCTTTGATGCGCTCGAGATAGTTTATTTTTCTTTGCAAATGCAAATTTGTCATTCACGTATCGTAACCATATCTTTGGTGTGTCGGAGTTATTCATATCGGCCATGGAATGATGCAAATATCGAATAACTGTGCGCACATGCAACGTGATGAACATGCATATGGACTGGTAGCTCCTGTCACACGGGTTTACACCCTTGGTTTTCGCCCTTGATTTCTGCTGCTTTGTGAGTCCGATTCAAGGATATTCCGAATTTCTGCCACCCATTAAGCACGACCGGCACCAAGTTTCGAGCACCGCGTTACGCGTTTTTTCCATTGCGTGATTCATAGAGATCCACTAGTTCTACGTCAGCCTCAGCTGGACCAGATTTTCACTTGTTCGGCTGCGTAACCGCCTGTCTGAGTTTCTTTGAAGAAAGCAGTGTTCCTTTACTTCCTGCTACGCCTTCTACATTTGGAGGGGCATCTAACAGCTTACCGACCGGCTAATTGAAAACGATGGAATTTGAAATCAGTTGTTCACCATATTTAGGGACCGCACTCAAACAATTTGGTGGAATGACAAAATAATATACCAATGTTGACTGTATCACATTTTATTGACACAGCTCATTATTTTTATGATTGTTGAAAACTCCTAGATAGTCCACTACTGGCCCTTGTGCAGCACATCCAGAATGTCATGTCAGCTTACCGTTATTATTACAGTAATTTGCAAATGGTCATTTTCCGTCAATTGAGCTAATTATATTTTATTGATCAACGCTTCTTTCCCGTCTAAACCTGGACAACGTGGTAATACCTCATCCATTGTGCTTCCTTGGGATGGCATGGCGGCTAGGCATCGAAGGAGTGTTACAGCTGGACGATTTATTTTCAATCCATGATCCTAGGTCCATTATTGTCCGTCATCACACTCACACATGTCAGTTGCGTTTCAGCACCGTTTACCAATTTGGAGTAGCACATACTTGACCGTACTTCGCTGCACTTAGCTGATTTTTTTATCTCTCTGTTTTTATCAGATCACCCAACGCCTCTGTATGTACCCAATCGCAGTTGAGGAGTTGACCAGAAAGGACGCATTATGTCATCTGTTCAGTGCTTCCACCGACTGGTGTCCATCTCATAACATAATCTGGCGATCCACCACAGCTTCGATCTTGTCCACCATCGCTCAGAATGGGATGACTACCGTTGTTGTAAAGTACATTCACGGTAAGTCCTTCTATGGCAGCAGTTTTCTTGTTAATGAATAACGGAAAGTTTGTACCTTCTAGGTGTAATACTTGCTGTTTACTCACTGATGTTTATTTAATGGACCATCGCATCGTGAAAAAGACACCAATTTTTGTGTAAGAATGATTTGCTTCTATTGATGGGCACGAGATTCGATAGCTCTACTGGCATACTAACACACAATGGTTTGATTCATTCTGCCTAGGAATTCTCAATTTTTGAATGGTAAGGCACCAATTTCTACGCTCGTCGTACGTGTTGTTTTACTGATGCGATCCTTCGTGAGAAACTTACATGTGATTAGTGTGTGGCTCATTCTGAAGCAATGAATCGTCTCTATAATGGCTGGAGTAGTTTTAAATCTTCCGTTTTTTAACAGACCCAGAAAAAATCTATATAGATCAGGCAATCCGTCAACTAACTGAATATTTGTCTCAACACCTGGATCAAGTTCATATTGAAGCCGATAGACTGAAGTGCAGGAAGAGTGCGCGTATTCATATTTCAGTCCCTTACCGATTTCCTGAAGTAATACAGATATTGGTATCTCTTTCCTCTAATGATGTAGATTCAGCAACACATTCCATTTGTAGTACACTCCAAATCTTTCTTATAACGATACAGACATTTGCGCCTTCAGTGCTACCCATACTTACCTTGATCTCTCAGATGCAAAATGTATTTCGGAGTGCATCAAGAACATCTCACAAGGCCGTCTCGCTCCGTTGGAAATTTTGGATGGCTTCATTGCACTACTGCACATTCTGTGCGAATCTTCATCTCTGTCACACGCTTTACTGGATGATTTCTCTTCCAGTAATGGCTATTCAGTTACAACAGAATTCGTCCTGAAGTGAGTTTAATGTTCCTAATGGTATGTTCTGACGCTTTTTCACTCGCATGCACCCAGATGTCATTTGCAGTGCATAAAGCACTGTTGTAAATGTTCGTTACCTAGAGGTTGTGACTAATTTTGTCTTTCGCAGCCAGTTTACACAATCTGGTAAACTGAAGTTTACTTAGAGTTGCTGCTTCGCATGAACCTGACATCCAACATTGTGAGTAGGTCCCTTCGAGAACTTGTACTACGATATCTCAATTACTGTGGTGACTGTAACATGAGGCGGCATGTATGCACCACATTCATTTGAAGAATATCGTGAGGGACAACTTCAGTTGAGTCTCTAGTTGAAACCAAATTGGTGTGCTAATGAGTGGATTTCGCTAATTTCGAACAACTTGGGTTCAAGTAGAACATAAAGTTAACAGAAACTCAGGGTCTGCGCCTAGCTGATGAGACCCAAGAAGGGCGAAACCCGTCATTGGCTGTCTAAGTCTTTTTGATAACTTTCACTGTTGCATATATTCGTCAAGCAAGCATTGTGCCACCAATTTTCGACTCTCTTGAAATGAATTTGCACAATCCTGTCAACTAGTGTCTCTAATAACCGAACATCACATCGTTTCGACGGAGGTGTCACGTGCAGGACACGGACCGAACGAAGGCATACTGTGATTCGCCAGAATACCAGCCAGTCCGGATCGAGCACCTTTGACTCGACGCTTCTCGCCCTCTCACGCAGATTCTGGCACGACCTTGTGGAACACTCTGTGACTACCCTATAAATACAGTTGTAACAATTTTCCTTAGTCTCCATAAGGGGCTGTGTAGAGCTACCGTGCTAAGGGACCGATACAGAGTTGCACTACCGTACATCAAGTCACAACATGCGCCAACTTCTCTAAGGTTCACATATTGCAGTGTTTTTCATCCTAGCATAAGGTTGCCTGACGGTACCCGGAAGCGAAGCCCCACAGTGTAGACCTGGGCATGTTACGCATCAGCAGATGATGGACACTGACATTGGATTTTTGGCTTGGAACACAACTGGAGTTTGGGAGGGCTTTCGCCACTACTATTTAGATGAGGTGTGTGTGTGTGTGGCCTGTCTAGCATCTGTTCATCGTAAACGAGGTCAACCTTGTGCTAATCCTTGTTGAACCGCTCAGTGATTATTCGCGATGGAACGGAGCACCAGTTGTATGTTTGACAGTCGCTGTCCATTCCTAAGCCAGCTAGAGAGCTTCCGGTTTTGTGAATGCAGTCGAATCAAATGTATCGAGTCATAATATCGTGTGCAGCCTATCGCCTAAAGACGTTTATCCTTCTCCCCTCCTATTTGATTATCCTTCCTTTGAAAGGCTAGAGCAAAATTTCAACTACATGGAAACGAAAATGGCTCTACAAACTATTGTTTCCCTGTTGGGACGTCTGGTGGTTTGTGGTGCCCTTGAATTGCGTCCGAAACCAGGAACAGGCGAGCAAATACACGCGTTTCCCGGGTTTCGTGTTCCGATGCCCAAGTCTGCAGGTGAGCAGCTTTGTTGTACAAATGTGCTGTGGTTCAACAATTCTCCGGAACCGTTTTCAGCCTAGTGAATCCGCTTGATAACTGGGTTGTGTTGTCACCTCTGCGTTCTTTGGGATGATACCATCAGCAATTGCTTGTGGATCATCAGTTAACTAGTGCTAATTAAAGGCGTTCAACCGTAGCACCCTTTTGATGCCGAGCTGCCATTTCGCATGGAATAAGAATGGAGGCTGGGATACTGCCAGGTTGCCCAAACTTAGAACCAGTCGAGATGTCGGGGTTGGGTTCGAACCATGAACCCACCGGTCACTAAGGTTGTGCCTTAGCCACTGAATTATCTCGGCCCGCAATAATTTATGGCATAGCCATCAATGGTTTGATTCCCACCGTCGGCTTCGCTTTCTTGGAGTTGATCGCCATAATCTTTCAGTCCCCATACATCCCACTTCATAATCAAACGCCAAAATAAACTGATGCGGAGTTGATACGATTTTAGTAATGTATCAAGCAGAAATACTCCAGCATCCTGAACTTTGGCCGTAGTGGAAGCTGAAGCGATCTCTCTACACCACGCTTAGAAGAATACCCTTGGATCTTGTGTTAACACCGCATAATTTGCAGTAATATGCCCTTTGTCCCAAGCAAATCCACTTTTTCTGAAAATTCAGGAAGTACCGTATCTGGTGAGTTCCAAGCGATGAAGCTGAAAATAGACTGTCGATAAGTTGTCGTCCTCCTCGGAATTAGTGTTTTAAATGTCAGCTTCTATTGAAGCAATAGGCGAACCTTTTGCTTCTTATTCAGTTCGTCAGTAGAACAGTCGGGATATTCCTACGAAGTTGTTAAGAGTCGCACGGTGAAATTTAATTTCCATATGAGCGCGTAATTCCACATACATTCTTCCCGTTCAGATCTGTTTTATCGTTCAACTGTTCCCATGAAGTGTTGCACGCTTCCTTTCCGACCAAGCCCATTCTTAACTGATGTCGCTGGGAGCAACTGGCAACTTAGTGGATGATGAAAAGGGTTTATTCATTATGATTTACTTGGTATCAAGACTATCCTCCCCACTTCCCCCGTCTAAAATCTATCATATCTACCTTTCACTGTCTCAGCGATGAAGAGTGTGCGCAATATTCTGGCGTTTGATGTGCTCCAGTCTCTGTTTCTCTCTGCCTCTACAAAGGAACTGAGTATGCTATTACTGGACAGTATCAAGACTATCTATCTACAGGATTTGGCCAACTATTTCATTTTGGAACAGCAAAATACTTTAGTGCTTTTTCTCAAAAAGATTTATCACAAACCGACGGAAATTCAAGTATGTTTCTTCCTTGTTTCATGGAAAGACTTTTTCTCCACTTAACTCGGCCAGAAATATTTCTTTGATTTATTGTTAAACATGCTCTCTGTTAGGCTTTTTACTCATTGAAACCATCTTAATGTTGTTGTGCTATCCTCGCTGGAGCAAGGCCATGCGAATTTGAATTTGACCGGTTGCCACAGCAAGGATTCATCCAATTTCATTTATCCAACACACTGATGAAGTCGTTATAGTAGATCAGGTTGCCACATAATCATTTCGCGCATGTATTGTCTGCTGGAGGACTGTCTGGTTCAGTCGACCCGCTGTTTCATTGGTACTCGGTGCTAGTGACACATTTAAGTATGGTCCCTCAGACAGGAAAGAAACGATTGCTTGTTCGTAGTCGTCTGCTCAATGTGTATCTCAACTGGCAGTTGAATAAAGTTATATGATAAGCCCTCCGTGATTGTATGGACGCATCCAGGTGACATAAAGAACCTGTTTCTGTTTCTAAGTTAACTCTATGAAGAAGTTGCTACTTCCAGGATGCATTTCAGAAACCAGTGTGATTGATGCAGGCTGTATGTGTAACAATACACATGGTTTTGTTCGATACAGGATAGCGATCCAAAACCTTTGGATAACTTTCGGTTAACAGTCACCAAAACCAATGAGATGGCTCTCCGTCGATTACCGATCTCTAGACCGTACTTCACGTGCTTGCTTCCCAGCCATTCCAGTCTTCCGATGAATTTCGGAAAATGCTTACTTATACCCAGTCCCAGTTTCTTGCTGTTGACATAGAGAATACGCTCGGTCAAAACCTCCTCCATGGGGTTGATCTCACTCATAAAGCTTTTCGTATCCACATGTGAAACAACAGCTGTGAGTAGAATAGGTTTATTCTCCGTTTAACCACCTCCTATGCAGTTCGTTCCTCTTGTAATGAATTTCGTGTTTTTTCGTGCCCCTTGTTTTGAATTCCCCCAGGAATCGCTGTTCAAGTTAATTGAGGTCTTAGTTAGTAGACTTCATTACGTACCAATGAAGGAGATCAGTAGCATCGTCGTTTTGATGAAAACATGCAGGTAGGTGTTCATCTATCTCTTCCTGTCTTCCTTGCCCTATGGTGAGTGGAACAAACCACTAACAACCACCATCTCTCTATCATCACTTGAAACATAGCGTCAACACGAACATTCGGTTTTTGATACCTCTGTTCATCTTTATATATGTCGGAATATGCATGCACTGCTCGTCCTCGATTTTCACACCAGTCTTTTGTTTAGTCTCAGGTTATCTAAGAAACCCGTTCTCGATTACGAGGAAAAAACAATAGAATCTCGAAATCAACCTTGTTTCGGACTGTGAATGCTTCCAGTCTTTCGGGCTGTTGTTGACAAACAAGTTTTGGTGTATTTTCCGCCACTTTCCAGGAAAACGTCTGCCCGTTATAACGCAAGAAGTGTCCGTTATTTTTGTACATAGCTGGCCAGATGGGTTTAACACCTAGTGACTGACACGTGAATGTTGATGATGTACCGTTTAGCGGTCGGGCTCTGTCCTGTTCCAAACGATTTCTCCTCAGTTAGGCACTAGTTTCCGATCATCCTTGTTGCCTGCCCTTGGTGGTGATAAGGATGTTGATTCTTCCCAGAATTAGTGCCTTCATAAATGGAATATAGTGCTTTCCTGTGAATTGCATAGCTCAACCCTTTCTAAGGCTACACAATCTCTGCTACACCGAACGAAATTCTAATGATCTTAACGGTTGCTGTTTTCGGTTTGTGTAGTGCCCAGCGTGGTCGTAAGCATGCATCTACACCATCATGAGGTCTTATCAGTTATTGCAACTTATTCCCTGGATACGAACTTAAAGAGTTGCTCGGCTACTGACAACCAGCTTTTTCCATGAATTAACCGGTCGAACTTGATTTGCCAAAGTAACATTTGCTGTACACAAGGCATCAATCGTTATTGCGTAGTGACCTAACTGACTATCTTTGTCCTGTGACACCATCCGACTGTATTTCGTTGTCAGTTCGCTCTAGCAGCATAAATAAGTTGGTTAGAGGGGCTGTAGTCTTCTTTGCGCTGGTGATAGTGCATCAGTTGTTCGGAGCTTGTGTGTATCTTTCTTCCACTGACATTGGACGGCGACGCTGAAATTTCATTTCGTTCTTCTGTTTCAATCATTCAGCTTATTTGATCTTAGAACTACGGAGTTGTCTTATAGGCTTACAGGTTCGATTGAAACTCAACCACTTTTCACGGGTTTCTTAGTCTGTTAAAATACAAAGAGTTCCCTAATTATTCGTTCTCTGGCCATCCCTTTTTTCGTTTCATCTAATGAATCAGTTACATCCGAAAACCCGAGATAACTGACTCTTTAAGGCACGAACTTACTGTGGATCCACTTCTGTGGATCGGACCAAATCTCAGCGTATCGACTGCCCCTGTCTAGTTCAAATAAGAATCTGAAGTATATATTCACACATTGCGGCTGGCGGATGTAACTTTAACAAGCAGGTTGGGAACGAATGCTCGAAGGCTGGTCTCTCCATTCAGATGAAGTTTCGGTGTGGTTTCAAGCATGTGGACGAACAGCCTGGTGCAAATGATGACGGTTTATGGGAATAAAGTGCACATGAACTACACTAACATGCCCCCGAATTTGACGTACAGCGTCTGGACATGGCTTGATCGGTGGAGTTACATACAGGTCATGATTTTCCAAGCAAAATATCGAATTTTTCCGAACTGAAAACACCTGATTGTTTTGGTGCAGGAGTTATTAGGGCGTAGCGTGGACAATGTTGTATCTTGACTTGATTGATGGAACGTCCATTAAAAACGTTTCGGTGATTCAACTAAACCGTGTAATGTGCTATGCGTATTACACGGTTTGGTCGAATCACTAACCTAACCTAACTTAACTAACCTAAAATCAAACTCCGGTGAACTGAAGTGTCCCACATAAGAGTTGGTTAGATGTGTAATATCACTGTTTTAAGAGGAAGCCAAATTTGTGTGGTTTGAATCTACCAGGAGCATATCTATGTTTTCTAAGGAGTATTCGGCCTTTCCAAGATCATTGAGTATTGTCAAACGGCCAATTTTCTTTCGTAATATCGTGTTTTGTGTGGTGGGCGTAGCAACGACGATTAAGTTTTCTCTGAATATTTACAAACATGCATTGGGCACAGGAGGCAGTCGCTCAATGACTACTTCGTACCAGTCTAATTTATCAAAGTTCAACGGAGGAACTCCAGAATTGTTGAATGACGTCAGTGAAAAATCTTCAACCGTTAAAATTGTGTACCACGTTGAGAAGCGTGCGAAAGGGAAGTTGCTTAGCTCCCGATTTCACCATCGTTCTAAAACTGTCATCCGTAAGCTGCATTCCAAAGAGCTTCCAAACGGATAATTAGTCATTCGATTTAGCCCGTTTTTCTTTTAATTATAGTGTCAAAAATCGATGAACGTTTGGTTTCGCTTAACCGCAGCACCATCCTGCGGTCTTCTGTTGTGACTTGCTATTTCGCTCTCGGAACGCCTCGCAGCCTAATTACTTTTGTAAATATGTGTATGTTCTGGGCCGGAACCTTAAAACCTCTCGATTTATAGACAGACAACTGAAAACATGGGGTTATTTTTGTACCAAGTAAAGGACATGTTCCACAAGCTGGGGATCCTGTGGAAAATGGATAGTAGCGTGTTTGCTCTTTTGTTTTCCACTACTTTCTGTTCACTTAACTTTGTTGTAACACTCCTTGTCCCTTACCTGTTAACTTCTGTTAACTTGGTACTCATTTTCCCTGTGTTTACTTAGTTCAACTTTAAAATATTTCTTTGCGATCGGAGTGTCAACGCGTGGTAAAACGTTACGTGGGATCCTGATAGAACCGTGCGATGCAGTCATCCCCTTTTCCCCTTTCATTAATTTCTCTTGTTTACAGTTTCAATTCCTGCTTGGCACTCACTCTTCGACACTTAATTAGACTGTTGGGTGAACATCGTTTGTTTAAAGAAGTCTATCATGATGTTGGCTTGCTGGAGCTCAGCGTCGAACTTTTACATCGTTTTGCCGACCTGTTCGGCGACCCATCGGAACCTAACACCCCCATGGTAAACGCGGAAATCTCCAATAAGAATGGCGATTCACATGGTAGGTCCTGTTTTTGTATGAATTATTTCCTCAACAAATGGTCTCTCGGATGGCAGATAAAGCCGGGCCCAGAAGGCCCTTTCAATAGACTCAAGAAGAGATTGGTCTTGAGAGTGTACAATGAAGTCAAAAACAAAGTAATCAAGAATCAGGCGCAGGTTTATGTACTCAGCTATTCCATATGCTGAGTACGTTCCTTCAATGATGCATCTGAGCGTAACAACTGTTCGGCTAGTGCCAAAGGTTTCGTCACATGAAAGTCGGTATACAGCATCAAAACTCACCGGAACTTTGTCTATTCTTGAGGGAAATTCTGCGTCATCCTATCGAAGTCGTGTGAATTTCTTATGGGTCTGGTGGATTTCACCGGTTCAGGATCTAGCTGAATCGTGCGGTTATGAAGCCATGCCACCTACGATTTGTCTCATTGGAGTATTCCCCTCGCAAATGTTTGGCAGTCCATGAAATCGTCATTGGATGGTACTTTTCGGATACAACTGATATCTCCCACCTTGTCGCAAATAGTTCATTAAGGATCTTCATCCTTATTTCTATTCGTAATGGGTGCTATATTCGTGTGCGAATGAGAGTATTTGTGTAAATCCAGAATACTCTTCGAAATTGCCCCTTCAGTTGGAGACATGTTTCAAGAAAAATGTTACGTGGAAGTAATCGTTTTGTAACATCCTAGAGAATACGATGGGGAAAACCAAACCCATTAGTGCAGGAGGCGGTTGTAAGCCTACAAACAAGTGATCGGCAGAGGGAGTTGATGATTTAGATCTGGAAACACAAAACGACAGTCTTCAAAATTTAGTAACAGCGATTTGTGTGGCTTTACCAACCGAATCTATTATATTTGGTAGCTCAATGTTATTTAACGCCAGTGAGTTTTGTGGAACATTTTTGTCACTGAATAATGGCAAGCTACCAACAAGGTTGAGATTATATTTGTCTGATGCAAGGAAAAAAGGAATACCAATGAGGCCGATCCACAAATTCTTTGAATGCGGTTTGTAGGCCTGTGTGAGCACCTGAGCCGATGTAATCACAGTCCATCACCATCAAGTCTTGGATTTCCGGTAGTTAAGTCTTTTATGCATTTACGCATTCATGAAAATTGGAAGGATTCCACTGTGTTGTTCATGTACGTAGACCTACTTTCTCTTATTTGTTTGCATTTTTTAACACATTTATTCTTTTGCGTCTGGTTGAATGTATATGCTAATACGTAGTTTTGTGGCATTGGAACATTGGTGTTGCCTATCGGAGTAGTGATAATAATACTCAACTACTATTACCTCATAAAACTGACGACACTTATCATTTATTTTGCTTACCGAATAACTAATTCTGAATAATCTTCGACAGCAGCTTCATCAGAGTTTCCAACGGCATTTGAGGTTGGCCAATTGCTGATAGACTTTCTACGCCTTACGGTGTCAGGAAGCGTACCCAATGCAGATATGTGTCTTCGACTTGGGTTGGCCAACTGTGTTGCGCAACGGTTGTTATGCTCACGATCCCCAGCGAGTACAGTTAAATGGCGTCGTCATGCACTGGCAATTCTGGAAGAAATCACGCTCATAAACGGTGGTGAGCAAGTAATGCCGCTCTTATTAAGCAAAATGCACACAACCTGCGTGGACTTGAAAATAGAAGTAAGTTTGTGGCACTGCCTTGTTGATATTTGATTGCTCCTCCAGCAGCTGGTGGAAACTGTCGTTCAAAAAAACAGCATTTTGCAATGTCAAGTCTCATCCAGTTCAATTCACTTGCAGACACTAATGCAGGCTAAGTGTAAGTCGAATATGAGAAACGACGGAGAGGGCTACATCGAATTACGAAACCTCTAGTTTTTATTGGATGGGGTGTAAGTTGTGAAGTTTGATTGATTCCACTTACAACGTGTTCTTGTCGGAGTTGCGGAGTAGATAAGCTTGTGAAATACGGCTTCAAATTTCCTCCATATCCTGTCCGGACGATCTGTTCCAGAAATCCAGAAACATGTGTTTTACCAATTGCTACCTTTGTTCGGTCACTTTGGTTACGCGTTGGTAACATCCGAATGGCTAGGGTTGGTGGCGTTATATTTTACGTGGGCATTTCCTGTGAGAACTGTGATTATTTCCGACGGTCATCTACCCTCCTTGAACGACATTTATGCCCTTGCGTCTCTTCGACCTTTTTGATTGACTAGTTCATTCTTGGGGTGATAGGATACGTTTTTATTTTCTGCAAACTCTCCTTTATTGCATGAATTTTTCGAGAGGTCTCGCAACGGTGCCATCTTCGGCATTACTAACAGGGTTAGATTTATTCATCAGCGTAGAATGATTTGATCAGTTCTTTGTCTGGATGGAGTATCACAGAAGCTGTACCTCTGGAATTTTCAAACGGCCAATCACAACTACCTGAGATGATCGTACTGAACCGCCCACATTTTGTTTAGCAACACAACAGTGTTCGGACTTTTAAGCTCACATGCTTGCATTTTGGTACGCCAGTCATGGAACCGGTATATTATCAGTACATATGGATGAATTTTGTCTAGTGCTTTAACGTTTTTTGTGCGGCGAATATGTTATCTCAGTGGCTCATTTCGCATTTGTGCTTTAGATTCTTCAATCATTCTGCCGTGTCCTACGAGACTCCCACCGCTGTCGTATGCTGTTTCGCAAGGTCAACGGGTTTGTATATGTAATGCAGGAACTAATCAATTTGGAAAGCTGTTTAAATCCGAAGTCCCGAATGGCAACCTCAGCAAGCTTTTTGCCTGTGCAGCCAAATGTGATGGAAGAGTGGCAGCAGCCAATATCACGAGACCGTTTCCTTTCCAGTTTAACTTACGAGCATATTTTCAAACTTATCCGGATCATATTCACGGTTTTCGGTATAGCAATGAAATTTGAGCCGGCCAACGCACATTATTTTGCAACCGAGGTGAGCAGTACTTACTTCCTGGTGGTGTCAACGTTATCACCGCATGCGCTGATTCGTACTGCGTAATGTTCAGTTCTCCGGTGAATTATACTAAGGTCTAACCATACCATTTAAGTTCCGTCAGTTGTCAGACGCCAATGAAAACTCTGCCGGTTGGGGACTAAGTACAGCGGAATTCATCAACAAGGAGGAAGTACCGAGAGGTTCGTAATCCTCGGTGGGCAGAGGAGGGAAAACCAATGGAAAACAGAAAATGTTCTTTTCCGAAGTGCTAGTTCGCCATCCTCGTAGGTTGCATTTTTGTGGGTTGCCAAAACGACCTACAAGTTCGTTTGGACAGTCGTCGTTCTTGCTTATCAAATGTCCCCTGCCTTGTTATTTGGGTAGCTGTCACTTCACCGATTCTGTCTGACTGACCTTTTCGGTCTAATCAGAAATATTGTCTGGTTTGCTGAAAAATCTCGGAGCAAGTCTACAAAAACCTGTAGGATACTGTTACTCCATGCTTCTGTGGCAAAATGTGTTCGGGTCCCGAAAAGTGTGGCCACACGAAGCCGTTTTCCCTATTGGGATACATCATTTGGACGTTCAAACGGGCCGAAGGCTATGTGTGGCATAGGTTTCTCGGTTCTGAAAATATTTACTTTAAACATTCACTTAGGCTTAAATCACATATTGGCGACAGGGAGATACTCCCAGAGGAGAACAATCTGAATATTCATCAGCCGTTAGGTTGTTCTGATGTAGTCCACCATTAGGCAAAACAAAGCCCATTCTTAGCTCTACGTCGTTCCTTAAGATTTCAAGCAGTGCCCTTACCACACACTTTGCTTTCAGGTAGAAGTTCCTTCTCGGTTAGAGTACGTAAAAACATGACCAATTTGCCCAGGTTTAGCTGTCAAGTATATTTAGATATTCTATCTTACAGAATAAAATCTTTGTTAGCTGCGCGCCATGCCAATCCTAATGGTCTTAACAATATACCTTTAATTTGTTGATGAATTCAGTTTATGAACGGGTTACCGTATGTACGACGTTCATTTTTCACTCACACTTCCATCACCAGTCGACCACATTGTTCAGGTAATGTGCGCTGGTCGCAAGAGAGCGACTGTAGTCTACTGTTTGCAAATATACGCAGTGTCCTTCGTTGTTCTGTTAATCTGTTCTTGGGCTTTCGCATCCACCCAAAGTAAGCAAAAGAAAACATGCCCATTAATTTTGGGTGAAATTGGAGGCGACAGGATGCTCATTTCAGTTTCCGACCAGTCTAGATTTCATCTGACTTCGCGCGCCTCACCGAGCTGCACATTGGATAGAGCGATCTTCCGTATGTCCTGTACGCGTAGGGGCCTTGTTTCTGACCCATAAACCAGTATGGAACGCACCGCCGTAGTGCAAACTCCGGTCTTGACAGACAAACTGACGTCCGGTCAGTGCCATAGGTGTCGGAGTTTGGTGAAAACTTCTCTGGTCTTCCCGATTCGAAAAGTAATTTCATCTCCACTCGTTCCACCGGAACTTATAAAGCTGCCCAGGTAGGCAAATTTATCTACCACATCGACTGATCGGCCTGCTAGCATGAGGTTTGTTTTTCATCCCACCCAGTCTTATACAGGCACTTTGAGGTGTGAGGCGCATGCTAAACCTTGCGGCAGAGTTAGCGAAATACACTCATTCGCAAACAAATTTGGTTTTGCGAGAGACTCAACTGGACTCACCAGTGATGTGTCCAGGCAACTGGATTTGCTGCCACAGGTCGTCTCATGTTTCAGTTGCTACGATTTTCTAGATATCGCGATACATGTATAGTCGTAATGCGCTACTCGTAAGGTTGTTGAAAATTCTTCGACAGTCCACAACCGGTTTCGCCCTTCTTGGGGCTCATCAGGTAGGCGTCGGAGGATAGCTACTTAAATGAGATCAATCGAGATGACATAGTCACTGGCACCCATTGTGTAGATTTTGTTAATTCTTTTCACCACACAGTCTTTCTGATCTCATTGCTTTGGTACATTCCGATAATCTTATTTTCCCAACTTAGATTCAATACTCCAACCTTACCGATGCCATCGTTTCTCTGGGTTCCTTCAACACGTCGACATACTCTGAATATGAGTTGTTATCAGGGGCTCCGGATTCACTGTACGAAATGGGCGATAATGGAAATACCATAGGTCATAATTTATTCACCAGTCTGTTTCGAAATCTCAATGAAACAGAAGCGGTACTACTCACAGTACCGACGTCTCCCACTGAACCACTGCCGCGTTTCATCACCTTCCACGCCCCACTTGGTCTTGTTGATCGAACTATCAGCGAAACCCCATTGTCTCTTTCCGTCCCTCGTCCTATTGTGGAATGTTGCGTCCTCACACGTTACGTGTACAACTTGGCTGTGGATGCCTACGATAAGTAAGTTCAGTTCTTCTCACATCTCTTTGTAATTTGCCTCAAAATTTCCTGTTACGAAGCATGCTAACATTAACCGCTGAAATCAACTAATTCGACCCGACGGTGATGGAAACCTCAATCTTTGTCATCGTAGGCCTATTGATGGTAGACCAATTCACTACGGTCAATTTATCACGAGCCAGTTTATAGTCTGGTATCTCACCGCGAGCCGATTTTTTCACGCCCACCGTTTGACGGTTTGGACTAAATTTAGCCAATTTCATTTTGTAAACAGACCATGAGGTTGACGGAAAATCAGGGACTGCGCCTACCTGATGGGTCTCAAATAGGGGGAGGGCGGTCAGAGAGATTTCAGAAAACTTATAGATAATGTTCCTTCGATAAAACAAAGTAGTTTTGTGAGTGCCGCTAAAATTCCCTCCAATGCATTTGATGTTTGTTAATTCATGCAATGGTTCTCGTGCAGGTGGTACAGCGCGGAATCACGTCCTTCACAACCCAGTGACCTGAAGTTGCTTTCAGATTAGACAACATTTACTTTTTAGCGCAACAATCCTCTAAAAGAGTAGTGGCTGCTCGGTTTCTGGTATCAATCATTTTTGAAACTATTAGTTCAAGCACTTTAGTATTACACAGATGCCGTCTTTGGCTCGTTCTAAATATCGTAAGCATCGTAAGACGTGCATAGACACCACTGATAGTTTTTTACTAGTTGAATCTTGGATGGCACACGCAAGAATCTAGGAACGGCATTTGTGGTGGCTGAAACAGAGCCACCGCAAGCAGTAAAAACAGCAGCTTTGAAGCTGTTCATGTGGCTCATGGAAGTTCCTATTGTATACATTGTCGTTCCGAAATGCGGGTATCGGTTAGATTTATGTCTGGGTTACATCGAACACTGACTGTAGAAATTACCGTAAAGGAAAATCTGCGATGGTTCCACTCTACAACAGGTCTTAAGACGTAAACCTCCTCTCTCATTTTCAGCCACCACAGGAATCTGAGTTGAGCTACGTTTCGTAACTAACTGTGTTTACGAGTCTGACTCGGTAGCGGTTTTGTAGACAGTCATTTGGACGATTTTTTGAGTAGACGCCTTATAATGGAATACTGGCTACAGTCTTAACCATGTTACACCTTTGGTTTTTTGTCAATAAAACGCGCAAGAGGATGTTCTCTATCATTAACTTTGGACCTATTTTGAATCAACCAAGGCGGTATATGTGACGCTGATATCAAAGATATGCTTCCAGACGATGGACAGTTGCAGTTCAGGGGTTATGTTGAATGTATGAGTAGGCTGCAGAAAAGTGACTGACCTACAAGTAAGCTGTAACAGGCTGTAATAAGTTCATAATGATCCTGATGAATTGGCTGACAGAACAACTTCCATGAACCTTTTGAACTGGTAAATCACTTGGTGTTAGCAGCTAATTGTTCAGATGGGGTTCGTAAAAAGTGCGAAATACGCTATGCAGTTGTCGGTTTTAGGTGCCATGCTCCGGTAGGCGCCTTCTTTGTGATATGGCTTGTCTCCCATGGAAGAGTGATACGAGTTTTCCTGACAGGTATGTGCATGGTGAAAAAATGTTCTTGGCAAATATCAACGTGCCGCGGGATTCGGGTGAGTGTGGCGGTCTGGTTTGGACTCTGGCCATTCACACTGACAACGCTCATATAAACATTACGACGAAGAGATGAGACAATAGTTGGTGGACCCCTTTTAAGGAAATTAAATCCATTGGGTATATGCATAAAACACACCGAGAGATTTAAAACATGTTTGTCTGGTGACATTATATTCCACCGTCTTACCCCTCCACACCACTCAGGCGGTCAGTGATGTTGGGTACGTCGGAGAAGCACTCTGCCGAACCGCCGTCAAAATCTGTTGTCTTTCCGCCGAATTCCAAGTCAGTGGATTCAAATTCTGATTCGCCTTGTTCTGCTATCGTTCACCCCGGCGCCATTATTTCCCTACTCCACCTGACGGCTAGGTTCGACCGCAAGCAGACAGACCAAACAACCCACACCGGCATCTTAGACATTGACCTTCAGGTATGCTCTTATAATCGATAGATTATTGCATGTCTGTTATCAGGGTTGCCTCCTGCTCCCAATATGAATTAGCCGTATCGCAAACAGCATTTTTGAATGGAAACTCGTTTTGGCGGCAAAAAATAGAACGCCGATTATTTGGTTGAGGACGGTTTCGGGATAGCAATTCTTCTCGCTTCATTGAAACATCTTTCAGGTTCCTATTAGCAGAATTTTGAACCACATTTGACGTTGATGAGTTTCTTTCTGTTGTGACTGACTGCTGTCTCGTCTCCAGTGCAGTAGTATCTGAAAAAAACTCACTAGATTGTCCTATTGGTTTTGGGAGAACACTCACCATCGTCGGCCGTTGCTGAACTGATTGACTGCGCGAGCTTCTAGCCGGGGCACTTAACGGCTTCCCTACGGCAATTTTGTTGAGTTTGACGGTCTCAGTAGCTTTCAGCATTCTGTGGTTATTTTCAAGATTTTGACCTTCCTGACAGGTTCACAGATATTTCTGTTTGTGATGATGGTTATGCCTTTGTTATTATCTGTTTTCTTCAAGCTGCTTTGTTGTACACTGTCCCTTATATCCTTTGAACGAATGAGTTAGTGCACTATGCAAAAGAAGATATGATTCGTTCTCTTTGTACTCTTCCTCGGATTATGGATTTGGAAGGACAGTTTTTAGCACAAGATGAAGGTAGCTATTGAATCCCAAGTGACTTCATGGCTTCGTGATTTCATGGTCGGATACACATGAACTCAGAATAGAGCTGAAAAGCATGCGCTAATCCGCTTCATTCTGTATCCTGCGTATATACATTTAAGTGTGTTTGTTGTCCTCCTCCGAAAGACCAATTTCTTCTGCCGTATTATATTAAGCATGTTTCGGTCTCGCGTATTTGTTTCTGAGGAAGCAGCCAATCTAGCTATTCCGAACCAGCGATTGTAATATTCTCTACGCTAGATCGCCGAAGCAGTAGAAATAGCCAGAATCCTAATGGTTACAGATCAAGGGCATAGAGCCAATGACCACATGAGAGACAGCTTTGATTCAACTGGGGGATAACAATCGAAAATGCGCGCTGAACGAAAGATTTAAGCTTGGAATGCGAAACCGCTCACTGACCTCAATTAATTTGATCTTCCTCGTCCAAGCCATTTTCGTTGCCTCCCATTCACATCAACCACCTGCTGATGATACGATCGCAATTACTGTTTTGGAATCTGTAGTATTGTAATCCAAAGACCTGTCGTGAGTCAACCCTTGCCCATCATTATTTTCGCTGACTACTTTCTTTGACTTACTGACCGGAAGGTTCGAACACAACATCTGCATCTGGACTGCTCCTGCCTGGGATTGGGCAATCTGGCAGTATCACAGCCCACGTACTTCCCTCGGGTGACATTGCAGCTATGCACCGAAAGAATGTCTTTCTTTTTTCTTAGTCACAGTTGCTACATCGCTCCAGTTTTCTCCTCTGGTGTTGCTCTCGATGGTGGTGGTGAATAACATTATCATGTTAACCTAAGACGTGTGTTGCAGTGGTCTGTTACGTGTCCATTTCAAGAATCTATGTGCCACGGCATGATAGATGTTGTTGCATGATTTATTTTCCGCCGGAGCTAGGTCATACTACGTGCAACCTCTATCGACTCCAACTGGATATTGCACCCAGTGTTTAAGTCTAAAAGCAGGGAAACCAAGGCCTCATTACCCTCATGTTTAATAAGCTTCGCGTGAGGTGTTACCCGACGGGCCTTCAAGGGTGATAAGCAAGGTCGGTCGGAGAGCTCGTTTCCGCCTCTGTCTTTGTTTTTCTTCTGCTCCGATGACTTGGGGTTGTCTTCAGACAACCGGGTAATCTTCCCCAAACCTAATTACTCCAGTTGACAGTAGAGATAATAAAACACCGTAGTCTTGAAAAATACTGGTGGACTCTGTTTTTCAAGGCCTTGAAACACCAGCGAGACACCTCCTCCAGAGATTGCACGGATTAAATTGCGTTCGGTTTTTTTTCGCACCGCGGAGCATTTCACATTCTAGCTAACCACCATTCTTGCGACAATATTTTGTTCCATTAGTCCGGCTTGCTATGATTACTGCTTTCGATAGGTAGGTCATCCCTCCGAAATATGACCGTCTCTGCAACAGAAGTCGATATAAGGACGAACCACTGCGGGAATAAATTGCTGCGGTGACCACCAAATTCAGTCAGTCTAAGTAGCACATTTGATAACCTCATATGCTACCCCAGTCGTTAGACTGAAAGTTGACTGCGACTTTTGCCTGTACACTTGTATGTGGGGTTTCGAGGATTGCGCATCATGATTTGAGACTTTGCTTAATTTTCATGTATGTTTCATGGCATACCTACCATGGGCTTTCAATCCAGATTCCGCAGCCGGCGAATCCTGGTCGGGTTCAGCAAAATGTAGTTGGATACGACCTCATGTACTCTTCATACGTGTCGGCTTCTTATTGATTGTGTTGAAAAACAGGGCTCATCTGGAACTGTAGTACGGTTGTTTATCTGTACCTGCCCATGGTTAATCGCTTGATTGGCCAGCCAGCATAAGGTAGTAGTCGTTTGGAAAGCCAATCATGTGTTAAATCATAACAAATGATTCCCAGAGCTTTCAGAAGTGGGAAGTCCAGACCAACTGAAAGGAAGCTTTCGCATGGTCTGTGGTGGTCTGTTGATGTCTGACAATTCAGACAGCCATTTCCTGGTACAATGATGGGGTTGCCCCACTCCTGGTATGGAGAAGTAATCGACATTATTCTCGATATAGTAGTAACATCAACGCTCTTGATGTGTTTGCTGATAAAGTGTATTGCTTGAAGTAGTCAGTAGACCAGAGGAAATATGGTCGATCAGGCTCTTGTATCATTTACCTCGTCAGTTGAAAATGACATCTTGCATCTCTGACACTTCCAATCCCCGAACCAGACCTGAACAACTGTCACTGTAGAGGGAGCGCTTTCTTAGTGCACTTTGCTTACAGCTCTCTGAGCCGGTTCCGAGAACCTGACTTCCTCATTATGCTGGCTGGTTAGTAAATACCAGTCAAATTCATACTTGCATTGTATCACTACCTGTCTAGTGGCTGTGGGAGGTGCATACCACGTCTTCTGAAAGGACTGGCTCCACCGAGTCCGTCACCGCGCCTTACTCAGTGTACGATGGCGTACGACCTATGTACCATGGATCATTGGCGTATCGCATTGGCAATAACTCACTGGAGACCTGTTTGGGCCAGCTGCTGCATGCATTGGCCAGATGCAGTCGCTTGCTCTGAATCGACCGGGCCGTAGTGAAAAATGGTGGATATCAATAAAACTGGCATAGGAGTTTTGTGGAACGAAAATATTGTTGAGACGTGAAAACTTCTCTCGATTGGGACACTTGAATTATCTCAAGAAGTGTACTGTGTGGCAATGCCTGTGTTTTCAACGCCGTATGTGAATAAATCACAATCTTCACTCCAAAGTAATCGTACCAAAGCGGCCGAGTGTGCTTACGCATTAATGGGTAAATTGTTGTAGAAATTCGTATCCTCAAATGCATTTTTGTATAACTGAAGGAACCTGAAATCCCGCAACAGTTCTGTTTCTTCATCACACTGTGCGGATATGCATATCCCTGTTAGTCGTTTCATCTTTCACCCCCATTCACAAATTTTCCGGTTTTGTTGTTTCCCCTGTCCTCTGCCTAGGTAACGTCTAGTGAAACCGAAATTTTCACGTTCATTCTGTTATTCTATCTGCGATGGCTACAAACTTACTGTACTCCTGGCCTTCCCATCCCTCTCCTTTTGAATCACAGACGTGTCTGCTGGATGCGATTAGCGATCTACTTCGAACAGAACGAAATCAACAACTTTTATGCACCGTTCAAATGCCCAGGGAGTTGATCACCCTATTTCGGCGTCATTTGGCAAAAGAAGACTCTCCACTACACGATCGGATTCAGTCCCTGTTCGAGTGTTTAGTTGTTCAGTCTTTGAATCCGAACGATTTGAGGTAAAGTGTACCCAAGCCTTCTAACTCATTCCTCTGTGTCCTTCTACAGTTAGTGAAACTCGTCCTTTTCCGGTACTTCTGCCGATGGATATACGTATATATTTTTTAGCTGCCATGGTGGGTTATGAACCATGGTCAGGTTTTTTACACTGTGTTGAATAGAAAGCATTTCCCCTTCTGTTCTTTTAACCACTTATAGGTGCCAGGGGGTTACCTAATGACCTTAGGAATAGTTACTGAATCTGTGGGGAAACGGTTGTTTTTTCTAGGTGACTTATGACTGCTTGCTGATGCATGTGACCTGGTTCGGTTTTTACGTCGGAACTTGTTCGCTTTCTATATCTTGTAATACCTTTGGTCTTGAGCTCAGTGAGGTGTGAGACCATCCATTCTGATGCCTTTCTTCTTTGTTGTTGCGTCTAAGAAAACAGATGTTAGACCCCGTGTTAATAGCCGCGTGGTAAGGTTAGTTGAAGTTCGCCCGGTGTTTATCATCCAGCGTTGTCAAGTAGATAGGATCACATCAAAGAAAGTCACCACCAAACCGATCTGGTTGTCGATTGACTGAATGATGAGCAGACAGTGACGGTTCCGCGCAAGGAAAGAACTTTCCGTGTTGAAGGTGCCGCTAAACGGTTGCTATGGCTCCGCCAGGACTACTGCATCTAAAGTTCGGAATGCTCCAAGGGTTCTAAGCTAAGAGTAAGTAAGGTGGCTTTGACTTATATAGAACCCTACATAGGTGCAGTGGATTTGTCGATCGCTTGGCGTAAATAATGGAATGAATGGCCCCGAGTAGCATTTGTTTACCGTTTGGACAGCTATACCCCCACTTGCAGCGATCTGATTCACAGTTTCTGCTTAGTTATGAGGGCCATGGTACCACCGGTTGCCTACGTAACCCTTGCTTCAATCCTTCACCGCGAAAAATCACTTGTGGCAACTGTGTGAGGTTGTGAACTAAGGCAGCTTTGTTCTTTCTTTACGCACGACCCGTAATCTTTCTCACTCAGCAGACCGATAATGCAGAATGTTTTCATGAAACCAGCATAGGCCACACGTCGGTCTCGCTGAAATGATGCTGTCTAAATGTCTTATATCCTCCCACAAGCATCAAAAACCTAGGAAAATCACGATACACCGCAAGAACGGTATCATATTCCACGAAATTACAGATTATTCCAGTAATGGGGCATTTTTCCTATCTTGCAGCGTAGATTCCATGACACTAGTTGACTGCCTCATGTTGTAATGCGTTAATAACTACAACCTACCCCTTTTGTGTTTTCGCCTCTAAATACCTCTTTTTACGTGTCGTTTTTCCTTTCAAGCGAGCATCTATGAAACCTCTTATACGGTGATTACTCACACTTGGATCTCCAGGAAACTCCATGTTTAGAGCGAGCAGAACAGCTTTACACTTCTTCGCTGACTTACTTTTGTTTAGTGGAAAAAATAAAGCGCTCAGCTGTAGCACCCTTTCGCCACCTGGCTGCCATGCCATCCTCTAAACTTCCGTCTAGTGGGAGTTCTTATTGGCCTAGGAGTACAGAAATGCAGTTTGAACCCAGATTTATGTTTGGCTTCCCGGTCTTTATGTGGTACGGGTACGATATAAATTTGATGAACAATTGCTATCCGTAGTCTATCCATCCACGTTGTTCTCTTACTTTGGTGGGTTACTTTCTCGGCCACATTTTGTGAAAATTTTCACAGAAGTCCTTTCGTCCAGCCTCACTTACTCTTCTTTTCTGCTTAGGGAATATCTCCGCATATCGGAGCCATTGTGCAGCCGTTCTTCCGAATTGGTTCATCCTTCGCCTGATGCTACCCATGACCGCGTCGCTGAGATTAGGTCTGCATTGCAGAACGCTGGCTCACGTTACGGTGGCCCTCTACCTCTTAGTCAAATCAAGTTCCTAATCGCAACTGCGACTCCAGTGAATGCGCAACTGGTTCGGCCTGCTTTTGACATGAAGCCTTTGGGTTTTTCATCACATGCTAATCAGGAACCAGAACCGGAAGATTCGCTAATTAGATGTGCTTTGGTTCCTCCTTTCGTGGAGTTTGATATGAATCCGGAAGGATTTGGCTGTCTGTTTCTACCCTCAATCGCCCCACAAGGCCCTTCATCAGTGGCGAACCTTTCTGGTGCAATCACGTGTTCAGACCTGGACGAAATGACTGGAGGCGTTGGAATTGGTAGGCCATTCAAGAAGATTTTTCTCCCGCTTTACTGTGTATTTTGGGTGGTCTAGTTAGTATGTTGTTTTACGAAAGTTTGAAGAACGGATCATGACATCATTTCGGAGCGGCTTGGTAAACAATCAGTGGATTTAATTCTGGGCAACGTTTCGCTTTTGACACAAAAGCCTCGTCAGCCCAATTGAGTAAGTAACCAGGTTGATCGGGTTTCAAGGCAGCCAGGCAACCAATCCTTGAGGGTTCTTATGACTAGTCGACTTGCTCACTGCTGGCTGACGACCTGAAGTTCCTGTTTGTTGGTTATGTGGGATGACTAACATTTACGATAGGCTGGTTAGAGGGGATTGTCTTCATATTGAAACCAGAGTTTGCGGCCTTGCTTTTCCGGTCTAGGATAACTTAATGGGATTGTTCACAGATGTTGTTCGCTTGTGTGCGTCGAGGTTTTTCTGGACAATTGGATTGGAGTTGGTGGTTGGCTAGGTGGGGGTCCTTGGCCGCACAATGCTCTTAGCTGCAAAACCTTTGTGGGTGGGACAAAACTTTTTACACGAACCAAGGACCACCCTCATTTACGTTCATGTTTTCGCAGCTCACTTAATTCATTGTTCACCCGTGCAATCATACCTCTGGTGGGAAAATTCTGATGGACTCTCGGGATGCCTTGATGGGGCTCAAAAGTTTGGTACTCTGTGGTACTCTGAACTCAATTGCCTATCTGTTTTAGTCCATGATGGACACGTCGTAGCTTTCGAAAATTCGATTCCATTGTATGAATACTGAGCGCCGGTTAGATGGATCTTACTGTGCTTGAATTTTATACTTTTAGACCGAGACCATTTCACTGATAACTGCACACCGCCTCGTTTCTTCTCGACTTATCTCAAGCTACTCTCCACACCCTTGCCACTTCTACGCCCTCTTTTAACGCTTGGATGCTTGGTGATTTCCACCACCTTGGCCACCAGTCGCTGCTGTGTGAATCTTAAACCTTGTCTCAGCATGTGCACATTTTCCAAATCTATCCTACGCTCAGTGTCTAGTGCATGCCCTGGTATTGCTGAATCTTTGACGATCACCTGATATTCATTTACGTTTCTTGGTGGTCTGCTAATGCATCCGTTATGCACACCGATTCTGCTTTGCAACTCCCTGGCTGGCTGACCTATATAAACCTTCCCACTGTCGTTACACTTTATTTCGTATACACAGTTCCTAGTCTTATAAACCGGATGGAGATCCTTCAACTGCACCAATGCCGAGCTTGAAATGTTTCCCTTCTGGAATGTTGCTCTAATGCCAGCCGTATTCAACGCTTCTGTATGCAATGACCGCTGTTCCGACCCGCTCCTTGTTGGGCCTTAATTTTGGCACCGACACCCGTCTCATCTACCGCTTACTTAAACCCACTGAGTATCCGCTGAAGTCGCTTTTTTTTACCTCAGGTGCTGCTCTTCAGTCGACCTCATCTGTGCACAATGCTAAACAAAACTAAAGTGATAAAGTACATCCTTAAGTTATGACTCATGCTGTATTTGATGACAGTATGAGGCTGTGTAATTGCAATATGGTTTTCATCATGCAAATGAAGTCGAAATGCTTTGAAGGTTCTAAATACACTGTACTGCTGTTTAACACTTATTGGAACCCATACGTACCTCTCTCTGTACGAATGCGCCTTGATCTTGGTTAATTATCTTTAGGGTATAGCACTAATCATTCAGCTACGCGGTCCACATAATGTGGTTACTTGCTGACTGGCTCCTCGAGAGATGACTCTAGGTGGAAAGTGCGTGCAACCTGCGAGAAGTCCAAATTTTCAAGCAGCTCACTAGTTCCTCGGTGCTAGTATGAGATTTTGACGTTTTCACAGTTTCATAGTTCCACACCACGCCCACGCTCATATTGCCTGATCGGTTTAACTAAGGGAACTTGGCTCTTCAGGTCCGATCCTACAGGTAGCCATTTCGCTAACAGTGACAAGCTCGTGTGGATACAAAATATGGTTGCCAGCTTGTAGTTAGTTTGCTAGGTTTTCACGATTTACCGGGTTACCGCCATCAAGGAAGTCTGTCGTTTTACATCGACTCTTCATTAGACTGTCTGCTGGGTCAATGATTTCACTCTGCACGTTGATTCGAATGTGGTTTTCCAAGTTTGCTGCATTCTTTGTAGTGAGTAAGGAGAAAATGATGACAGCTTGGAAAGTGCCATAAATGATGCTTTGCGATATGATTAGGCGAATACTTGTCGTATAGTTCAAGTTGGAGTTTTCTGTATACAATTTTTTTCAACCGTAATGCTCTTTCAATGCATGATTTTCACTCTACATAGATGAAGCCCATGGACCAAGCTGTTGTCAAATTTTCGGAAACTGGACAGGAGCAATCGGAAAAACAGGTTAGGGCTCGAAACGCGGGTCTCCAAGTCACGCCTTAGAATCTGTCTCGTGATGGTGAATGGGCCTGGTTTCACATAGGTGCGGTGGCTGATGTGGTCTGAGGTATTCATACTTGTTTCTGAACTGAGCTCAATCCTTTGAGATCCTCAGTTAGCAGGGGAACTAGGCCTTTCTCTCACAGGTCCAATCACTGAACATTGGTACTTAGCGTAAAACCACTAACCAGCCTGTTCTTTATCTAAGCAATAACAACAGCATTGTTGCGGATACCTTCCGAGAGCATGTGGGCATTTACCGTTGGATGACTGTTTTCTCCCTACCCATTGGTTGCAAAACAGCAGTTACCATCCATTAACAACAAGCAGCGAGAACAAACCCATGTTTTCCACGGTAACTCATTTGAGTGTCTACTACCACCGTGAGACATTTGGAATAGAGAGAGAAAATTCATGCAACCTAAAGTTCGAAGAGCATCGAACTGAGTTTGCTATTTTGAGAAATCGATAGTAGAGATGTGTTTCGATAAGATAAATAGATGGGAATGTTCAGGTCACGAAGTTGGGTATGAAGTGTTAAACGGAGCGGATGATAAATGACGGATTTGAAAATGGGTGTGGAAATCATTTTGGAGCTAAACTAAAGCCGCATCTGCGTGAACGCACAAATTCCGTTTTGCAGCGTCTGTTTTGTGTTTAAGTAGTCCGCACTTTGATAACTAGTCAAGGTCGGCGAAACAACCACCGGCAAACGCACCCGGGCTACCAACATTTGGGCAAATTGACAAATATACGTTGCTACAAATACGGACATTAATCGGCCGACACAGTTGTCAAGCTATCTTCTACTGATGGCAGTGGTATTCCGTTCATTCTAGGTGGAGGCTTGGGATCAGTAACTGTAAAAGCTCCTTGTATTGCGCTTTGGAGGCGAAAACCTATCTTCTGAGACGCGTCATCGTCCAGTCGTATAGATTTTTCCTTAGTGCGTAAGGATGCCGTAACTTGGGTAATGTGGAGCTGGAATGTTTTAATTAAGACTCCGTATGCGACAGTTGTTGGTTAAGCCCATGCAATAGCCACATTACTCAAAGAGGCCTACACTTGATCATATTTTCAGCATGTCAACTCATCGCTCAGTGTTCACTGTTGGAATGGTCTTTTAGTCTGTTGAACGGCAAGTTGTTTGGTTCATGGCGCTCCAGTTGTCTTTTTTCGTATTCTCTTATGCTCCTAGAGCTCACCGAGCTGTTGCTTCTAAAATTCAAGCTTGTGTCTCCTTTCACAAACAGACCATAAGCCTTCAGTATTCTTTCAAGGAAGTATAGAATTCATTCAGGTACATTAGTTCGGTTATAGCACTTTATTGCAAACTCCATCGCTGAATGACTCGGAATAAGCATTTTTAGAGGTCGCATTTAAGTGCCTTTCGCTTGTCATTATTTTTTTTATTGTTACCGCTCTTGTCCGTTCACAGTTGTTGGTTTTACCCAACACAATTTTTCTGTTTCCCCTTTTCAGGTGAGCGCCTATTTCCGCCTCCTCATGGTTTCACCTTCTCTACTTGGGTTTGTGTTTCGCAGTTTGATAAGATTCGTAACTCGGATGCTGCTGCCACCTCAGCCTCATCGGATGTTGTTCATCCGCGCGCCGGTAGCCAACCTCCAGCACAACAACCACAAGCCGTCCACCTACTCACAATTGTTCGAGGAATACAAAGTGTCAACGACCAGCTGATATGTTTGCGTATCTTTATTCATCCTTATACACGAATGCTTGTGGTCTCCACGCAGGAGCGACTTGCTCAGCCAGGTCTGTTCGCATTTCGAATTATCTTACTCACCTTGTCACTTTCCTTACGCTTAATGTTATAATTTGTCATTGGTTTTGTAGATCAAACTACAGACTCAGAGGTTAATGACATCGCCATTGGTGAGAGTGATCGGCGTCCTAGTACGAATGGAACGACATTGTCCATGGATTCTTCAACGACCAGCTCATGCGCAGTATTCCCGTGCGGACTGCCTAATTCCACATCTCAGCAATGGCCTGTTGGAGTGTGGAGGCATTTGGCCGTGGTCTTCAGTCGAGCTGGCATGATCAAGTCCAGCTCATGTAGCGTCTACCTCGATGGACAGTTGACTGGATTGCAGCGCGTAGGTTTCTTTCTTATCCTCTGAACGTTCTTCTCAGCCTTGGTTTTTGGATGCACTCTATCCTCGTCGTTGTTTTATTGATTTTTTCAGTGTATACTCCATGTGCGCGATCGAATATAAATATTTTTCAAACCGCTTTTATATACAAATGAAATGAGGGTAGCGCACAGCAATTCGGAACCCAGAGTACCTGCACTTCACCATTATTTACTCATAGTTTACATATAAGCCGGTAATAATAGGGTATCTCGTCGCTTAGTACGCTGAATTGGCTGCTTCGAACAGTAAAATTCGTAGTACATTTTTGTTTTCGGCCAATTTATTGTGAGCTTAAAACGGCCCCGTAACTTCGGTCTGCAGATTTCAGACGTGTCGCACTTATTAATTTGAGACACCTATGGTGGCAAGGCTTCATGTCCCTGACTCTCAAGGGATATGTGCATCAGGCTACAGTACGTGCTGTTTTGTCATATGGCTGTGAAACGTGGCCGCTGCGAGATGCGGGATTGACACGCATTCGGGTCTTCGACAGTCGTTATCTCATAGCCCATGCAAGCTGGTGCCGGCGAATCCGCAGAGAAACAATTAGAATGTGAGTCTGCTTTTGTGCAATGGGGACTTCAATGAAAAAAAATGACCACGACCGAAAGCTGCTGTGGATTGGTCATTATTACGCATGCCGAATCATCATGTACCAAAACGAATGATGTTTCTTGTGCCGAACTCAGAATGAAGAGAGTAGTGAAAACGACTGCGAAAATTTTGTGCAATGTCGGTGTAACCGGGTTTTCATGATGCGGTCCACGTTTTCCTCCCTGTGCTCAGTTTGAGATGCTAGAAAATGCGACTGTTAATCGATGTTGTTGGCATCCTTCGAAACATATAGTGAGTGTACAGCATCGAAGTATCAGTGTCACAGGCTGTTGCGCTGGTGACGACGATGCACTTTTCAACGGAATGGGCTGTATCCGTATTCACTATGGGTCGACACATTCCCTGTCAGTGCGGTAGCAAATATCTTGATGGTGCTATTGATTAGACTGGTGGTTCGATCGTCTATTTTGAAATTCGCCCATACAAGTGCGTCGTCTAAAACATCATTATTATGGTTTCAGCTTTCTGAATAATATGATGATTTTTTGAAAGGAAAATCCATTGCGACTGAGTGAGTGTTCAATTGACTTGATCAGTTCATCGGCTGCCGTATGATTACCATGCATTGTGCCTTCCGAAATGTTGAGTGGGCTGTCTGGATACACCTGCATTTTTGAGATCAGTGGATTCCAGTAACCGTTTTCACAGCATTTACTGTCGCCGTTTTTTATTGCGAACAGCACCCTAATAAGCACAAGAATAGAAAGTGCTAAGTAAAGGCTGTATCGTAAGGTGTCTCATAGGTATTTCGGTGGGATACTAAGTACTGCTTCATTTATCTCCAGCCCTATTGAGACAAAACCCAACAATGCACTGCTGGTGCTTGCCGTACGTGTTACTAGTTTATTTTTATTACTCGCTTACTCGACTCCTAATTGTGATGTTCTTCGCGCTTAGGCACATGAGTCTCCTGGTTTGGAATAATACACTGGGTGATCATCGCCTCAATGAGGATGTCTCGTGTGTGTACTATAATGGATACTATATAATGGTACTATACAATGGATAAAACGCTGGACTCTCCGTTCTTTTTGGTCTATTTTGGAACTTGCGACTTACATACGGAGTTTTACCTGAATGTTTCACGATTTACCAACTATGCACGAACTTCTCTAATTAATAACCTGGTTTCGGAAAACCCTCACAGTAAATCGAAGATCTCCCAGACACTCCGACTAATCCCACAAATCGATATACCTGTTTTTACACGGAAGTCTTTTCCGTTACATCTCAATACTCAGTTTGTGTAATGTTCGCCATCCCAGACCTTTCCGTGCAGATTTCTCATAGATGGATTTCCTCCGTCCTTCCTGCCTCTTCCGCTGCAGCTAAATTATATCGGTTCTTCAACTGTTGTATCCGGTTTCCTCGGTCGACAGACTATGCCTTCCACCGTATGTGCGTTCGTTGGCACTCCGGCAACTGAACGCCGGCCAAGTACACTCATTTGGCGACAGGGCCCGATGCATTTCATGGAAGAACCACTACAAGCTAACCGAATAGCCCTGATTGCCCGCCTGGGGCCGAATTATTTTGGCAGCTTTCAGTCACCGCCTCCGGTTTTCGGTAAATTTATCCATCTGTCGACCTACTTCGCTATATTCTCCCTTCGTATCATTCAGTAGTAGCCAATGGACTCACAGAGATGTTTCCTAATTTGGTCGTAGGTATCACCAACGCCCTCCACTCCTTTTGAGAGTGATGTGCAGTAAGCTTATGTGATTGAGTAGGCCTGCGCTGCTGTCATCAAACTGTGGCACATTCCTATTAAGTAGTGAGGACATGGGAGGGTCTCACAGCGGAGGTAGTATTTCCGGCACGAGATTTTTTCATTCGAACTTATGGATGCTGAGTGCTCTTATTGTCCTCGTGTATTATGCGGCTGTCTTATAACGTTGAAATGGTTACGTCATGGACTGCAGTGTAAGCCCGCGAGCCAAGGGCTTATTGTTAGTATGTGCTTAGAGGTGTTCTGGTGCTCTTGTTTGTGGTGACACAAACTAGAACTATCTTCGCGATTGTGCTTCCTTTGGATTTCGTAGCAGGTACCTGTGGAATAAGTGCAACTATTTGAAAAACTCCCTTTTAGTGTGTCCTTGTTGACTTCCAGCGTGTCTTTTGTTTTCCCAATTTTCAGCCCTGTCATCTATTTCTCTTGAAGAGCCATATCGCCCTCTTTTGAGCGAGGAAAAGTTGGTATTTGGGATATACGCCTCCACTTTGTCCACGTTGACCTTGTCACGGTTCCGAAAAATATATAGTCAAGCTGATACCAAGGCAGTTGCCCGACAGGTATGCCTTTTATTCAGCAGTTATAACCGAGTGCTTGGATGTTTATAAACTATTCTTTCACGGAATTCACGTTTCACTTGCCCAAAATCTTATATTCACAGTATTTGGCCATTCTTAGATAAGGTGACCGTCCAGAATCTAGTCTTCAAGATGGATCGCTATCATTCTGTCTCCAAGCGAAGAATTTGATGCTTAATATGGATGAGTGCATTGTACTGCATCTGTGTGGCTCTTAACACAGCTGTTGCTGTTGTTGCTGATACTAGATATTTCGCCGCACTTTTTATCGGTTTATCGGAATACGTGTCGTTTATCTTTCTGAGCAACACTTGTTATACCCTTATGATCTTGGCATTTGAGCGTTCGAGGTCAATTTGCTATCCGCTTGATCTGATCACGTGAACCTACTCACAATCTCCTTTGGCTTTTTACCTTGTCCGTTGCGAAAATGGTTAGGTCAGTCCTTTATGATAGTTTGTCTATCACGGTAGATTTAAGCTACTGATACCAAAGTAGAATGCACTGGTTGCCTAACTCTTCGTGTCGTGAACTCATCCTATTCGCGTATCTACCTCCCCATTCTTCCCAAGTTCTACATTGCTCCAAAAGAGAATGTCACTCCAATCCGCGTGCTGCACAATTCTGCCGCACATCTGCATGGACCTGCTCGACCGTTGGGCGCCGTCCTTGTCGGATACCAAGGTGTACGTGCCTTCACGCCAAATCCGATTGTCCGCCAGCTACACTGCGTGGGAGGGGGCGTCGGAGGCATCCGTATTGGTCTAGCGTTGATTGCTATGGCCCAAGATGCAGAGACACTGTACGCTGCAACCAAAGCCGCTTGCACCCTGATCAGGAGCAGTACAGCGGCCGCCAATGAAATGTACATAACTCGGGGATATCAGGTCTGCACATTTTTTAAGCGCTGTTTGTGTTCGAAATCGTTCTTCTAAAGCCATCAGGACACCTTTACTCTGTTAGCTACGGGGATCTCTTGGTGGATAAGTTCTCTCTCTGTACTGATTGCGACTACCATCGATTGAGATTGTAGAGTCGCGTGTGTTTTTTCGGATTTGTTGTTGGGATCCACACACATGCTTCGTTAGTTTACTGGCATTATCCATCAAATAGCGACCGGATTCCACACCACCATCGACGCATCATACCTGCAGCTGAGATCATGGGCTGTACAGCCTCGATGCACTGGATATCACTTTCAGTCAGTACACTGATGAACGGATGACAGCCTAATGTGCGACAGGTTTCGAACGCACTGTCAGGATTAAGTTGTTTGCAATTGTGCCACTCTTTCCTTGGACCAGTGCGTAGCGAAAATCAGAAATCCTTTCCCAGCAACTTCACCATAGACTCCATGCACTGTTGCTGCCTTGGGCTTCACTTCATAACTAATAGTTCATTCCCTGATTAGCATTTGGTTACTGGGACGCTGTCGATGAAAGGCATCGTATTCAGTGACCACACTGTGTTCTTTGCGTAAGCAGTGTTGATTTTGTTCTTTTCTGGTTCCTTTGCTTGTCGGTTAGATCAGGGTATTACAAGCATTAACGCTTTCAGTGCGTGACATGTATACAAAATTCTAGCCCAGTTCATCCCAAACTGGATATGCTTACTGTAGCTAGCTAGTCTCAGTGGATATCCAGTCCTTCATATCATCAGACTACCCGCCTGATCTCAAAGGAGCGGATGGATTCTGCCATACTTTCACACTAGTATGCATTTTTCGGGAACGGTTAGTCGCGCAGGTTCCAAAGCGCAATCTGGAGGGCTAGAAGACTGTTTACCAGGCTGTTTTCCATTGGCCAGTCTGCTAGAATAGGTTATGTTAATGTTGTAGGGAATCTATCAGTATGTTTCGAGGAGTCGTGTAGTCGTCCCGTTGTGAAGTACAGCACAAGACGGTACGGACTTCAAATAAGTCCATCCAACACAAGACCCTGTGACAAAACAGCAATTTTTAGTGTGGCCTTAATAGAGTGTCACATGGAGCGAGTCGCTAGACTTGTTTAGGCGTCGGATTTCACAGATCCCGGTAACTGTGTTGCTCAAACTTCTGCTCGTTGACACACCTTTCCGTTTAGGCTTTGTACTGGCTCACTGGTGCACAAGGCGTTGCTTTATAATGGTGTTCGACTCACGTTACCTTTTACGTCACAACTCCCCGTAAATCTTCCTCTGGACATCTCCTAGGAAGCATTGTTATGGTTCTGAGCAGCTGACGCGACAAATTTGTATACGCATAGTGTTTTGATCCGTCGCCTGAACTCCAGATTGACCCATTTCCATGGATTGGTCGAAAAGACAGGACGACACTACATACTGGATGTTTTTTGTTGTTCCCATTCATGCTCCTGTTGCCAGTTTGGCGCCATTCTGTGGAGTTTGTGGGAACGCTGTGCCTGTGTGAATCAACCAAATAATTCAGTTTTGATGGGCTGGCTATTGGTCTGATTTCCGAAATGTCAGTATTCCGTGACATAACAAGTCTAATAAGTTTGTTCAAATGGACCCGAATTCTGAGTTTTATGCGGAGTGACCGGTGGTTTGGGATTGGGATGTCTGACTTTAGAACACTTCTTACATTGAATTTGACGCTTTTAAAACTATTTGGTAAATTATATGGGCCTTGTGTTGCTCAACAGTCGGTTTTTTGCGACTTTTTAAACATATTTTAAAGAAGGAATAGTCATCAATCTTCAAAAACCACTAAAAACTTTTTATCGCCCCTGTGGATCAGACGAAATTTTGGAAGCGAAAACTAAGAAGCCAGTGAGTCTCCTCACAAATGACGTCAACATTACTTCATCCTTGTTCGCCGATTTATGACTTTTGACTCCTCGAAGCGTTATCATTTTGTGTAGCCTTCATTGGTTACTTTCAACCGTGTTAACAAGTGTTTAAACCAGTTGGAAGAGTCATGAAATGAGTGAGATCTCTGAAACTTGGAAAACTGCATTGTTGTAATCAGAACTTCACCGCACGTGTTTGTGGTGGCTGCCTCGTTTTCCTTCATTTTTAACCCTTAAAATTATTTTTTCTGGATACCGGTTCAGATGCTTGCAATGCTTCTGCGTAAAAAACGCAACCTCTTGACGACCCGTATTCTCGACATTATTTTGGGTCTGACGATGCATCTGGATTCTTGGATGGATGGGGCGGCGCAGGAGCAGGTGCGTTTGTGTTTTTATTCTTGGAATTATTTTGAGTCTTACTGAGAGTCTATTGGTTTTATTTGTCTTGAAATTAATTAGCTGAAGGTCTTTGCCAAGCGATATGACGTCCAGTAATCCAGTTTGACCATAGTTTTGCTGTTCTTTCACATATTTCTGCATGGATTATTGTTTCACACCTGAGCACGTATGGTCACACACATTTGCACATGTTCGCAACCCTTTCCTGTTGTTGCGCGTCAAGCAGGTTCATTATATTCAGACCATTGGGTAAGGATGCTTCTGGAAATAGCATTGACGACTAAGTAAACACTGTGAGCTTCGTAGCTCTCAAATAGCTGCATGTTCGGAAAATGCCCGCTCTCCCCTTTGGGTCCGGTAATGTTTGCACGCTGTGCCAAAATCACTTATCTGTCCAACTCCCTCTTCTGATTCGAATAAAGACGTACTGGGTACTTTAGGGTAGATAGTTCAATTGAGCGAATGAATTCTTTTACTTTGGCGGTCATTATACATTTAGGAACGATGGATCATTTCCTTCCCTTATATACGCATTTTCGCTTGGTGACTTTTATCCACCGCTTGTGCATTCCAGGTTTTAAATGATTTAAAGTCGTTCACAATAAAAGCCAAGATTTTTTGCTGTTCTTACCCAGTTTTCAACACATCACCTTAGTCACTGTCTGTTATTCCCCATCGCTACTTCCTCTGGTTTGAGACCACTTCATGGTTCGTTTCCAACAACCATTTAGGATTTCTGCCATTCTGTATGCACTGCCACCAGTGGTCTCAAAAGCTTTGGAATTTCCCCTCTAGCGCCACTGGGTTTAATACCTTATAGTAAATTCCTCAACCAACTTGACAACTTGATATTTTCGCAAACAATTATGGCTGTTTTGTTGCCGAATGACGAGCTCCAATTAGCACCTCTCCTTTTGTAGTCCATATTCTTACTATTTACTGCGCCTGGTCAACGGTTGCCCTCACAAGGTACACGTTCGGAAATCGCGTCCATTCAAGAGAATCGATCGCTTCTGTTAACTTTTCCATCTCTCTCTGCTGCGAGAAGCTAACCGGATATTTCAAGTTTTGTTGTGCCATATGATGATGGATTGAAACCATCTACCTCCCTGTATATAGGAATCACTGGCTTTATCTGAAACAACTCTGGGGAGCGAAAAATACAACACATCGGTGTGAAGAGACGAAGTGCCTACTTACCTAAACGAACCTCAACTCCAAGGAAACTCGTTACTGTTTTTGTGTCAAAACTAGACTCAAAAGTAAGATCTGTCGGGAGATTTCGAATGCACTGAAGTGCCCATGTGGTGATCGGTCTTTCGTTGTGAACGATGGTGCTTCAGTATTTGAGAGGGCCACGAAATGCACCTGGAATCCTCGAGTTGAGAATTCCGTTGCAACTGTTGCTAATGATGAAGACTCAGTAGACTTTCCTTGTAATTACTTTACCAACCAAACACCTACAGCATCTTTCAGAGTGCGATTCTTTCTCTTTGTCTCCGTGTACGGATAATCAAATGGTTCATCTGTACGGGTACTCCGACAATGGTGTCGCTGCTCCCCTGGTGTTCTATGCATCTGAACAACAAATGTCTGTCGAACATGTTTTTCCCAAAGTTAATAACTCCACTCTTTGGGGCTAAAAAAATAATTGTCCTCCTGGAATCTTGTTTCAACATTTGCAACCGCTTGCATTCCTGTTCTCTCACAAAGATGATTCCGTTTTTGTCCTCTGTCTGAAAACAGTGACTTTTGATTAGTCTCTTATCGAGATGCATGGACACTAGAAGTCCCCTGATCGATTTTTTCGTTTGCAGTTACCCTGACGTACATAATAGGTTTCATAAATGCGTCTTATTATGTGTTACCGTTTGTTTTCACGGTGATCTTTCCATGGCCTTTTTGAGAAAATATACGCTTCCTTGAATTAAAGTGATTTGTCTTATCCCTGGAAATGCCAATGAGGACAATTTTGATAGCCCGAAATTTATGGGTCGTCTACTTGTTCCCTGGGCTGATTAATTTGGTTGCGCAAATCAAAGTAGCATCAATAGTGCGTTGGTTATTTCAACTCGATCGATCGTGAAGCGTTTCCAACAGAACCGTTAAGCTTACAACTATACGGATGGCCACGCTCGCCTATTGTGACGCCCATTCATTTGTAACTGGTAGTTAGTGTGCACTGTACTCTGGAATGCATGTGCATGCTCTCCACTGCTAGGATAAGTCAACCAATAATCCATGTTCAAAGCCGTTATTGGCCTCATTTTATAAATGCCCATTAAATAGATAATCCTTTCCTTACCAGTTCGTAGATGGAGTGTTTCTTATTATAAATTTATCACTCGGTCTGAACCTCATTTGCTATTGACTCCAGTGTATTGCCCACAGCTGATAAGTTTGTTTCATTGCTCCGCTGCCTATTGGTCCAAAAACCTACGTGCTTGGGGATCGATGCGATGTATACTCAGTCTCTGTTTTTTGAAAGCAGAGAGAGGTTAAGTGCCTTACAACTCACGGCTTTTCTCATGTAGTGATGGGCTGTGGTATTTTAACATGGACGGTGATGTACACATACTAGCCCGGTATTACTTTTGATTGTTCTCTTGAGTATAGAACGTTGTAGCACCCTGGACAGCTAGATCATTCCCGTTGGTGCTAAACTTCTAACATTCATTATCTAAATGTCCATCCCATATTTGGCTGAAAAATCTATAGATCCGTTCTCCGTCACCATTCGTATTGGGTAAATGCTGAGGCAGGTTTGTGCGCAGTACTTTAAGGTACGTTTCCGCTTATTGGGACGTGCTGTCGAAGAGACGATTCTCTTGGAATGGACAAAACGATATCCCCAGAAATGTACAACGGCTACCTTCTCTCTCCCGGGATGTTTGTTTTCTTCCAAAGACGATGCCCTTTAGATTTGGCCAATCGGTTCCACTTAGACTTGTGCTCTGTGATCTCTCGTAGATTTTACCTAGTTTGATTTTTGTAATACTTGACCTTGTTAGCCTTTTGGAACACTTCAGGCGGTTACTAAAAACAGAACATGAGTTGGTTCGTAACAAAACAACCCTGCTTATCGAGTTTATCGCGCTGTTAGGATGCAGCATTCTTGTGCAAGTAACTTGTTGTAATTCGTATCTTAGCCTGGCGGTTGATCGCTGCAACAGATTTTGGCGGTAAGGGATTTGACTTGTTCGTCTCCAGATCAATATATCTTACATAAATATGTGTAACTCGTTGTAGTAGCTAGGATATATGCTCCAGTCTAGGCGCGCTATTTCGTCAAATTCTACTGGTTACTACTGTCGGGTTACTACCGTAAACACTTGAAGACACCTGAGCTTTTGGTGATGCAAGCTTAGCGAGGTTATTTGTCCTTTCCGGTCCCAATCAGAAGAAGACCAGGTTCTTTGGGATGATACCATTTTGAGAAATTCATCGGTCGTGTTTTCTATTTAGTTGCGAAAATGTGGTCATTCCCCACAGCCATCATAATCGGTGTCAAAAGCGGGATTGTTCAACGTCGGTGTTTAACTTCTAATTAACTAGCTCGAGCAATCCTGACTGCAACCCTGTGAACTCATAAACGATTTTAAGCCTCTCATCTTTTCTACTTAGTTCGGCCTGTTCATTAAAAAACACCGTGTTAAGATTTACGGACCACGATTCGCCTCCTTGAGGGGCTTCCGTAGACAACGCATGCGAATGTTCTACATTTGACTATCTTCGTCTGTTCGATGTGTTTTTCTGATCGAATTAAGTTCCTTTGTCATTATTTTGGACCTGCTTATTGTACCACTTCTGAGAGCAGCTTCGTAGAATCTCCCGCCTAGTATTCAGTCCTTCAAAGACGTTTGATTACATTCTAGGTCGTGACGGCAGAACATCCAGCTTTTGAGGACCTCCTGTGTGACTTGGATTTGTGGCGCATCGAACGTGAACGCATTGAGTCCCCCGCGAAATTTACTCCTGATCAGAGCGCTTTGAATTCAGAAATCGTTGTGGTTGAAGAAGATTACCGGTTGGTTGCCAATCTGCTGCATCATCTAGTCGAGCTTCTGTCTGTCACAAGCAGCCGCAACAAGCGTGAATCGATCGATAGCTGCAATTCAAACGAATCTGGTCGTCCGCTCGTTACTTATAAGGTAATTTCGTTCCTCTATCATCTGTGTACGATTCCTTTGACTGATACTCCACTCCCATGCCGTTTTATGTTGTTATCAACTGATTCGATTTACCAAGATCGCTTGATTTATTGTTCGTCTACCCATAATTGTACCTCAGATGCGCGTCTGACAATTTTCGCTTTTACTAGCCTTTAAAAGTGGTCGGATTTAGTTCGGAGCATTTTATAAATTTTAGTGTTTTTATGCGATTTTTTTTTGCTGCAATGAATTCCAGATGAAATTCTAATTTTTGTAACCGCGGTGGCTGTGTCAATAATGGGCGATGTGGAAATGGTACATACGCGCTTATGTAGTTGATATCTGCTCATTATTTCATTTCAAACGTTTTTCTCCATGGATAGTGTGTTATGGTAGCGTTTAGGTCAAGCGTATCCTGTGGATTATTGCGTCATATTAAGGATTGAACTCTGAAAATAATTACTTACAGTGCAGTATTGGGATTTCTGATAACTACACGGAGCTTCGCCATTTCCAATGCGTCGTATAGCGTGAAATCGCAGGTGGGTGAGATATTATCTACTACCATATCGTCCCTGTCACCCGGAGAGACATTCGGGATGTGTCCGATTCTCGATAGGACTTTCTGTTTGCGAGGATCAACGAACTTCCCTTGTCTACAGATTTTTTCCAGCGAATTCCATCAGGCTGTGAAGAACTCCATTTCGATCGAACTGAATACTTCAAGTTTTGTTAACCACAAATGACCTGTGTGAGGCGCTGTTTAGGACACGTTCTCTCCTCAGTTTTCGTCTAACTTAAAAGTAGAAGTTTGCAACCTGACATATCAATTTGGACAGCTGTTTACTGAATTTATGCTCAGCTGTGAATCTTACGCACCTATTTCCAACAACTCATGCTGCTCACCGAAAGTTCATAGCGCTACTGAGGCCACTTCTTGAATCTATTCACTAGCTGCTTATTTATGCTTGACTTGTGCGATCCACCTGATTCCATTGGCAATATTCGGAGATCATAACTCTAGTGTTCTTGTGGTTAGCACTCATGACAAGTTAATATTTCCTTCGATTCAGTTGAATAATGGCATGCCCATCTTTGTCGTATATGGCAAACAAGGAAATTCAGTGTATCTACAGAGATGCCGGAACGTGCGATAGATCTTATCACACTGTCCTAGGAATCCTCTTTTAGTATAGACCCGTCGCATTGTTAAGCGAGATTGGTGGGGTTAGTAAATGACCAACCAAGAGGTATGTCAAGTGCAATAGAGGTCTCACTACATTCTACAATCAAGTATGTCCAACTACTGCCTTGGGGTTCTCCGCATATGAAACGCCAAGATGTGGGACTACTTCACGTCAGACTAGGATGCATATGAAAAACCGTGTCAAGTGAACTAGAAGTGATTATCAATATGAGATAGCGGGCCTGGGTTCACCATTGGTATGGGATGGAAATAGAGGGATTTCAAATTGGTCGAATTAAAAATGCTTGCTTTTTTATGACTCAAGTTCCTATATCTCCCATAGGCGGGTATCGTGTAACTGGACCACAGGAAAACATCGCGGCTGGCTCCCACATCGGCGCACTAAACAACCACCGTTTTCTGTCCTCTCTGTGATGTACAGATGATATTTTAAACATTACAACGCCTCGACCTTCACTGGCGTATGAGCGTCATCACCTTTTCTTTTCCAGTTAAATAATTTCGGGCGTAACCAGCGTGTGTGCGTACAGCTTCGGTGGAGTTTCAGGGCAAAATTTTCAAATAGTTGGATGATGATTATGCAGTAGTGCCTTATTGGAGTGACGAATAATGAAGGACATCGTGTACGAGGAGATTTACTGGTTTTTGTTGGTTCCTCCCAACTACCATACCAAAGTATCGGTCGAGTCTCGCTGGTGATATCAGTTATTCTCGTGACAGTCGTCAGACAGTCAGACTAGACTGGTTTCAAACTAGCACTGGAGTACTTGCACTGGGGTGCCGTAGCTTTTGGATACGAATCACCCCAGAGCGCAATAAATAAACAATTTATTGCGTTAGTCGAATCTCGTTTAGATGTGGTACGTGCTGATGTTGTTGAAATGAATGAAATGTTGTCGGAAATGAATGAAACGTTATCTGTACCATCGGACATACATCAAGACCAAGTGAAATATGTAACTTTACAAGCTGCTAATCCGTTGCTAGAACCTGTTAACTGAGATGCCCTGCATAGATTTCGTTACTGGTTGTCTCTCAGTCTGTCCCTAGTTTATCATGTAGATTTCCATTTTCCTAATAGAGTATTCAGTATGACGTTTTCGGTGCCTGTGTTCCGTCGATAAGCTTTGTAGTGTTGCCCTTCGGTATTTTGAACCATTTCTCTCACTACTGTTTTGTGTTTTGGATATTTTCCTCATCCCAGAACGGATTTCGGTCATGACTACTAGATTTGTCAGAATAAACAACTGCCTAATGCTCTGATCGTTGTACTCCGTCCAACATTTTCTCACTTATCGGAAACAGTTACATGTATCCTTGCAAAAAAAGAGCGTTTCCATTGTTTTCATTTTTTCGGTCATTTTTTCAATCCTCTACAGTGTTCGTTAAATCCTACCTGGGATATGGTGTTTGACCGTGTTTTCTACCTGTTACTGAGTGCTTATCAGACAATATCCGGTCCAGTCCTCAGCCAATCCCGACCAGCAGTCTTGACCAAAACAGTGACTTCGGAGCGTCAAAACATGCTGGATGCATCCATGAGGTTTTTCCACATTTATTTCTCATATTCGGTTCCGAATCGGAGTCTACTGCGGTGCGTCACATCACTTTCGACCCTACTTTGCTAAGAGTTGTTTCCATGTATTCGTTTTGTCCGTGTGTGCTCGAATTTTTTATTGAGTGCTGCATGATTTACAAATACTGCGTAAATTAGGTGTACAATAATCAGATTGACGGAGCGTCTGTCAAGGTGGATTCCTCGGGACCGGTTTAGCCCTAGTCCTGACTACTCAGAGGTTATACAAAGACGAGGGCGAGAAACACCAGGTTGCTTGGGAAGCATAGTAAAGTTGACACAATATTGGAAACTTGTGGGGATGGCACCGCTTACGCAATTTCTGGTGTACGTTTGTCAAATCATCAACAATATATTAGGGAAACCACCCATACAAGTTGAGATCGAGAAGGAGGGTACTTACAGTCTGTAAGGGCAGAATGGCGTTGGGGCGATTGGTCGCCCTTTGGACATGGTCGCAAATTGAAGGCTGGTTAGAGGACCCCCCTCAGGGTGGGGTCCTCAAGGATGGGACGAATCTGAGGTTCATAGGGGAGCTAGTAGTTGAGGTGCTCAGAATAGAGAACTCACTTTCTCGAACGCTTTTGTGCAGTTCGATTCTAGTGCGCCAAAAGATGATGTCAGCAAAGTTTTTTTTAAAAACGAATACTGTCGGTGTCATTCGTAACCATTGCATCAAAGGAGGTTAGTATAGTGTTGGCACTGTGTTGTAATATTCATTCTACTGTAGCAAGCGGCAGTTGTTTCATTCACACCGCATAATAGTCAAGGCCAAAAAGTGTAAAATGAATATGACGATTGACAGCCTTAAAGTGGTTTGTTGAAAGTAGTAGCATTGACATGGATTAACAGGCATGCTGAGTGGTTTTAGTTAGGTACGTGTCACCAACCGTGACGGAGCCATCGGAGAAGTTTGGAAGGGCTAAATATCGGAGAATTTCGGGAGCTCTTACCTTGTAGGTGTTCGACTGTGTTGAATGGCTTCATTCTCCCCATTCACTTATATTTTTTGCTTCTCCACTGGTGCACGTTGTTATTCTTGTTAGAGTACCTTTTTCCAATAACCAGGTGATTCTTCCTAATCAGGATCCCAACCATATAAATGTTCCGGATAACTAGACTTACGATCGTCAACATTTGACGAACTCACTGACTTCACGTAGATTTTATTTACGCATATGTGACGTGTACGTAAAAGGTCAATGCCGTTATCCTATTATGGAAAACATCGCAGGACTGGTAAAAGTGGTCTTTTATGGGAGTTGGTTTCTCCTGAGGTCTTTCGGCGAACGTGTCAGGTGCACTGAGATAAAGCAGGTCAGCGAGGTTCATGTTACCATGGCTGAATTACCCATACAAATGTCGATCAGGGTGAAGTTAGGTAGAATGTTGATTCCTTGACAGTTTACCTAAACAGTTTGACTAATCGTGAATTATTCGATTATGTCTTAACTGAACCTCGAGTTCCTTAGATGGTCTGCGTTATTTTAAGAAAGAGGCCCTGATCCCCAAAACGGTCAAGTTGGCCCCACCCAAATAACGGTGACCAGTGGTCCTGTCAGTTACCCTAAACTGTCCACTGGTGTCACGCTTACCTGATGAGGATTGGTGGGAAAAATCGGCATGCTGTCGACGATGATGATAATAATGATGATGATGATGGCCAGGCAGCCGATATTCACTCTTTATAACATTATATGTACTCCCATAACAAAACACTCCAAGAGCTAACTCATGTTTGCGAAGAATGTAGACGAAGTCAATGATACGTGCTTACTTTACTGCAACGGTTTCATGGCCATGCGTCTTAACCCATCATATTCGGTTTTCAGCCGATATATTTAGCAATGTTATCAAGTTTGAATGTACTCTCTTACCCTTCTGACAGCATTGCACAACTTATGGCGTGGACCCTGCCCTCGGTAGACGTCAGTGAATCTATTATATTGTTGGAAGAGTCGTCTCGCTGTGATGCATCCCATTGGTCTGGTATGTCCCCGTTTTTATCTATCTGGTTCAGCTGGCCCCATCGTTATTTCTTCGATGTCTCCCAAGCATTCATTCTGTCTGTATTCATGTCTAAGGCACAGTACTCCCCGTTGGTCATTTTCTTCCTTCCGGCAGTTGATGAGCTTAGCTTCACACGTCCTTTTAAGTAGATTCAAGCTGGTAAGTATAGCATTTCTGCATTCTAACAAATATCTCATTTTGAGTGAATTATATTCAGCACTCGCCTTGCCTTGATTTACTTTATTGTTCATTCAATTAGTAAAATTCAAATTAAACCGCCTTAATTTGCCGTGTGACTGTTTGTCTTATTTTTCTGTTGTGTTTCATCTGCTCCGTTCTCGATTTTGATGGGCCACTGCACTGATCACTCACTTCTACCAGAAACCAACGAGTGGAGGCAACAGTTGATTGGTTTACGCAACGCGTGCTTTCGAATGTTGCTCAAGCTAATCGTCAACTCTCCGTCAGTAAACAAAAAGTAGGCCTTCAAACATTTTTGTAATGTTTTACCTGCTCATCGAAGCGCCTCTCGTTTGTCCTACGTGGTGCTTGCTTGTATCCTCATCTTTCTTAGGTTCTGCAATGAATTGCTCACTGTGGTGGGATTCGACTGGTTTCATTTGTTTCTTCGTCCAAACGTCCACCCATCCTCCGTTGTACTGGCTTTTCACCTGTTAATTTTGGTCATTCTTAATCCTGACTACTCGGTAACCGGTCCCGATCCATTGGAAGATTGGCTGCAGGATTTTGCGACGGTCGCTCAAACCAAGTTACCACCATCCACCAAATTACAGCATGACAATAGCGCGAGTGCAGATGGAGTTTTCCTACCTAACCCGGATATAGACGGCTTGGCCGCTTTCCGAACAGGTTGTCCGGCTGGACGGTGGCTGCGTGGTTGCGAAGCCTTGCTGAAGCGACAACACGGTTTACTTTTGGGTAAGTGCAGCACAGCTCCTCTTGCTCACTGTAGCAGGTCATCTCCCATATTGTTTTGCGCACTGAAGCAGTCTGTCTGAAAGTCATCCGAATTGCTGTCTTCTGTGTAGTTAGTTCAGTCTGATTGAGTTCGCTAGAGCGAACTACTCGAACATTGAGTCGAGAATCAAGCGTGGCTTTTGTCTGCACACTTTTTCTATGGAGAGATACTGGGTATTCGTCTAAGATAGTAGTTTCAATGAAGACTTCATTTATATCGCTATTTGCATATATTACATGTTCCTGAACGCGGCATACCGAAAATTGGCGTATTTTACACTTCAAACCCTTGGTTAATAGTTCGCAATGTGAAGACCATGGCGTGTCAACGTGAACTAAATTTGGCTACCTTCTTAGTTGAGAGCAACGGCGTCTTCGTGGGTGGATTCCACGTAATCCCCGTGGGACTTGTTTGAAGAAATGTTTCTTGGCCGATTCCATTTTCGAGCCTGGTCTTACTTCATCGCCTTATTGTCTAGCTGAAATTTCCTTGTCGTTGCATGCTAGACTTGCATTGGTTGATATTCGCGAAGGCGTTGGGTCAGATGTGTTTACCTCAGTGGTTTTGGAAGGTTTAGGCGCCCCGATGCTGGCAGTTCAACCTGAAGACACCCCTACTTCGTGTTTCCACCCTCCACACTTGTATGACAATTCTCACCCCTGGCGTATCGATATCTATGCTGCTACTGATGTCCTTACTGTTTATAATGTTCCCCCGTCGCGTAACTATCCCAAGGCAGTCTTTCTCTGCCGCCATTCTTCTCATTCTCTCCCTTTCTTGCCGTGCCGGGTTGGTTGCAGCATGACCCAATCAGAATGTGGCGTGGACATGTGATTTGTGTGGTTGTGGGGTAAAAAACCGTGTCTTGTGAGATCAGTGTGTGTCAGTGTGTCCAGATATTGTTAGCTCGGGTGAGTTCATCGGCTGCTGACTATCCACCCCACTGACGATGTCCCCTCGTACAGTGACAAAGCGCTTGCAAGCCAGCTGTCAAACCCAGCCAACAGATCAACTGTCACATGATCAACAACCAGTGTTATTGTCTTATCATCCAAACTACAGGTGCATGTTTCCCCTAATCTTTTCAGATAACGTTCCTCGAAACACAAAGTACATCTCCGCCCGTTTCCTGACAGCTTTACGCGATTTTCGACTGACGGCCTGTCAACAGCCCGGATTTGGTGCACTCAGGTTGCTTCTGCCGCAACACTCGAACGTACCCGAGCTATACTATCTGCTGACTGCGTTGCTCCTACAGCTGCCAGTTCGTCAAATTCCGTCCGATTTCCGTGTAGGTATTTTGTTGTTGTCCCTCCAGCTTCCCTTCAGATGTCCAATTCTTTTGTTCCTTTTGTTTCACGAAGTTTCCCCTTTGTATGTCTACTTTTCCTCAATACTATTGGACTGTTGTCTGCTTGTTCAGTTCGATATTCCACGTTACTTCGTTTTCTAGTTCCTAGTGAATTTAGTCAAGCGACAGCATACATTTCGGAGACCATCATGCAGTCTGCCATCGATGGTCACATTCATCCAATTTTCCACCACCTCCGTCTACTTTTTTCCCTGCTGCCGGAATCACGGCGTGGTTGTTCAACAAATGCTTATACCAGCTAGACTATCCGCCTCTGTTACCCCTTGGTTTTACTCTCCATCACATCAAGACAGTCCTTATAATGTTGGTCTTTATATGGGATTCGTATTTTTCTCGATATTGTTTCTACGTTCTGGTCCTTCAGGGCATACTCCAAAAATCAGTTGTATAGGATTTCTTTGTAAGACATTCAGATGGGCCCCTAGCAGCGCGAAACCGAAGGTGAACTGTTGTTGGATTCTGGTCTTTCTTTCAGGCTAATTTAAAATGATGTGATGACCGTGTTTTTTTCTCTGGTGTGACGTAGTGTCCACTGTTATAAGGAAAGTTTTTATGGTTCAGCGCAGTAAACCTAATACCCACTGTAACAAGTTGAAACTGAAGACGCAGACAGAGGTACGTAGACAGGTTAAACGGAAGACAACCTGTTCTACCAAGGATCAGGGCTATTCACTACTGTTGTATACGGTGTTAAATGAGGAAAAAGGTAATGTACCATGGTATGGAATGTGCTGCTCTGCTTACAAAGCGCTGCACGTTTCCAGAACGCTGGGAATTCCTCGAATGCATCTGACAGGCGGTACTCTTTTATCCCAAAGAAACTGGACGTTACCGTGGTATGACAGTCTATGTACCTCCATCAGTCATTGAGTTATACTATGGGGTGTCCGTGCAGCACTCACAGAAGTTGGTCAATCTCTAGAGGTCTGACCAACGCAGGTTCTCGGTACTTCCGGTCAGAGGTTGGAATGTGTGCCAATTTGTTCTTTAAAACACTGTTCAAATTTTTGGTCAAGAACCCTAATCGTCCTCCTGTCTAGGCCTGAGCATCCTGGCAGTATCCCAGCCCATGACGGTTTGGACACTTACAAGTGACAGTACTCTCATTTCACATCTACCGTTGCGTGGTGTCATCAGCCGGCTCGCTAATGCCCCAAGAATCTGCGCGCAGCACCATGTTTTTTCCACGCTTCTTACTACGCTAAGGCGTCTACTGATTTGGGCACTGTCAACCAGCAAGTCTGATTTGGATGCCAGTCATTCATTTTCCTAATGGCCTTACTAGCATCGACCTCCGTTTTTCCCATTCCCTTGGTGGAGATCGAGATAGTCCACTAGATAAGACCCCTTTGTGTTTGACTGAACTCCCTTCTGACCTTCCAGTCATTCCTATCAATGTTTGGGCAACCTGTTGGTACCTCATTGACTCTTGTTTCCCGCCTATTATGTCATATGTGCACCGGTCGGATGCTGCAGTGGCTCGGCGTTTTGAATACAACATGAGTAATCGGTTAAAATACACTGTTCCCAAATGTTCTGGGCGGACAGTGACGCACCGAACCTCATGCATGATGGACTTCAAGTGGAGTAAACCTATTCAGTCAAGAACCTACGTTGGCCGAATGCAAACTGTTACACTCACCCTGATCTCGGAGACAGATTCGCTCTCCAGATACGAATGAATCAACCCTTGAAGCAATTCACCATCATCAGCTGTAAGAACCGCGTACTTGCCGTACAGTGACTGTAGCTGCCACAGTTTTGTTCATCGATGATTTCCGGGGTGGGGTAGATGGCTGCACATTAGAGGTGACAGCTGATATAATTGATGAATCGTCGTTTGTAGGCTTCTAATTGGGCGGAATTGGGAGAGGAGCTATGCATTAAAGGCAATGGTTTAGATGCATGAGCGTCATTATGGGCGCGACTGAGCCATGTCTGACAGTGTCTCTAATCATTGATGTGTCCCTTCTCGATGTTCCCATCAAGCAAAATGGCAATGACTAGTGCAACTGCGTTTGCTGATAATGGCTTTCATACTTCGCTGTCAAGTCATAGTTGACTGAACTTAACTTGTTTCCACCCTTCATGTGATTGTGCGAAAAGAGCCCTTCGAGGAATTCGGTCGACCGGCATACGAAACACGTGGCCAAGCCAGTGTGATCAGTTCATTCCTCGTAGGTGACTTATTGTCGCCAAAAACCATTCGACCTGTTTCAGCTTCACTGATCCGGTGTTCCCACCAGCCTCAAGGAATGCTCCGAAGTCATCGATGGTCAAACACTGAAAGTCTTTCGATGTTCCCTTTGAGCAGCGACCGGTGTTTGACCTTTATACTAATACGGAGCGCACTGCAATACTGCAAACTGGACTCTTGACGGATAAGATAGTGTTACGACTACGCAACGCTCGCCAGAATTCGATTGGCCGCAATCCTGCCCGCTATGGATACCGTCGCTTTTCTGTTATGATCTCCGCAGCATTCAGAAAGATAAGAAACCAAAATTCGTCGCTTTGTACACCACTGTCAGTGAGGGACTTGGCTGAGATGACCTTCCATGATAGTCTTATGTTGGAGGCGCTTTCAGTTGTATGGTCAAGCGGTTTCATGTCTCTTTCTGACATCCTAGGTGAAGCAATATTTTCCCCACATTGCACGTATGTTGATTGCTTTACTAACATAATCTGATTTTTGCAGATGCACTGGCGAGACTGATTGCTTGTAATTATCGCACTTTTGAAATGCAGTGAAGTGATACCTTAATCAATTGTTTTTCCTTTTCATCAGCCTTATGCATACCAAGATGTTTTTGGGTCTCCTTTATTCAGCCCTACCAAGACCGTTTCGGTAGATTTCAGTAGTTCTTCCTTTGTTGATGTCTTTTTCACAAGCTCAACTCCGGAGTTCCAAACTTATCTCTTCTCATCCAGCCGTTTTGGTCACTGTTTGACTTCGATCCTTCTCATTCCTGTGTTCTTTGTCCCTGCTGCATTTTGTGTAAGTATTCACTGTTCCTCTAAGACTTCTGAAAACATTTCTGGATCGTAATTGCATCGAAATTATATTTTGGCGAATCTGCATCATATTCATCCAGCAAACTTGTTTAAATGCTGGATATCTTTCCGCCATAACTGACTTCTGTCGGAACCCCATATTTCCTTAAGTTGGCCCGTTTTCTAGTCAGTCACATTGGGGTATGCCATCACGTTAGTCAACGTTTATCTCTGGACTGCTTTCTTGGTTAGTCTTCTTCCATGTTACTTTTTTCCGTTTCTATCGAGTTCCCTAATTCTTCTAACCGAATTCACGGTAGCGTTGTGGTTGACATGGTGAAGGTGCACCTCCATATCGGGTTGCAATTGACGATCTTGGTTTGATAATAGGTCTAGTTGATATATTCTTGCTTCTAAAGTGCCTCATTCGTGTAGTTTTGCTTTTCCCAATATTTAGGTCAGTGTTTCAGGACTTTCTGAAGCAGGTTTCTTCGCATTTTTTAGAAACGAGGCAACTGTGTTGTTGCTTTTCGTAGTTTCACTGAGATTGACTGACTGCCTGGTAGTCCTCCGACCCCAATGACCGTCAAAATATCAATCATCGAGCAAAACTCTGTCATATCAGTCTACAACGAACACACTGGTCATCGTCTTTTATAAGTGCTTCGTATAGGTTTTTCAGTTTGACCTATTTTTGTTATAACTGAATTGACGTGTTTCTCTGAGTTCAGATGCTGACTCCTTAGCATTCTTTAACACACACCAGTTCTGCGTTCCGCACACTGTTCGGTTGTTTGCACCCCAGACAACCAATCGATACCATTTGCTGTTGTATTTAAATCTGTAGCCATTGATGGAATGCTGCCTGAAAGCTACTTGGAACCAATAATAATGATAGTGAGAACTCTAATAATTTTTGTACGAAATGAGCATATCCGGTACACCCTTTCGTTACTTGTGTCTTTCTTAACTTCGGAGCTGCTTAGGTGGGAGCTTGTTGAGTATCATCTCGGCATAAGCACTGACGAACGGAGAAAGTTCTCGTCATGTCTTTTGATCAAAAGTACGATATCTAGTGTGACCAGTTACTTCGCCAATGTTGCCGGTAGCCGAAATTTAGTTACCGGCTATATTTTCCATACTAGGCGTTGATTTATGGAATCGATGTTTTGACGTCACGCCTACTGACCTCGAGTATAGACCCATAGTTTATCTCTTAGCTCCGACAATCTTCCGTGCGTGTAACACTGACGGCTTGTTTTCTGCGTTCCTTTTGTTTTTTTCCAATACCCGGGCATCGATGTCTTACACCCTTTACCTTCTTGCTAGGTTTCCCCACCTCAAGGCCAGAGGGGTCGGACTTTTGAGTCTTCAGATCAAGGTTGGCCCCCCCACTTGATTTTCTTTGTAGAACATTTCATTTGGTTCTGAAGCTCTTCGTTCGTCGGCGCCTTCCCTGCCCTCTCGACTCTATTCCCTCTTATGAGCAGAGGTGGCCGGATCGTTTGATTATTAACTATCTGACCGCTACGGGCAAGTTGACCAACACTAACTCCCAGATAGGAGTAGCCAAAATCCGTCGAATTGGCCAACAACCACCACCTAGCGAAAGCCATCGTGACATAATCTTGGTGGCTGTATCATCCACAATGCTCTGTGGTCTTTTGTACTTTGACCGAACTCAAGGAGGAACAGCTCCGTGTAATTCAAGCTGGGTTTCCTCCTACATGGAAGTGTCCATCTGTACTCTGCGGTGAATTTTGGAACAGTGATGTCACTATTAGCGTTGAATAATGATTATCTTTTCTGATTCTGTTGATTGTAAGGTACTGCAGCAACGTTTTTAGAAAAAAATCCCTCTCCTATAAATTCTTGACCCTTCTTAAGACATTATGCGCCGGCTTCCGCGGACGCATCAGATTTTGCTGCATCGAGTAGTGTCAAATATTCTTTCTTCTACACGATTTTGTCGGCACGTCTGTTATCAGCGTATCCATGGAAGACTTACCTGTCTTGGATACCTGTGGGGTTGAACCTTTGCGCTGGATATCTGTTGGCCACATGATATAACTGCTCTTGTATATGCCCCCATAAAAATAGGACGAATATTAAAACGCCTCAACGGTCCCTTCGGTATGGGTTACACACGTATAGTATGTAAAGTGCTGCTCTAAGGCGGGAGGACCCGGACATCATTTTCACGGAAAATTCCTTTAAGTTGGTAAGCAGGTTTTTTCATCTACATAGCTGTATCAGTCCCTTGGTTAAGCTAAAGACGATATTACCATCCTAATTTAGAAGGCCAGAGCAGCTTCTGTCAATCTGCAACATGTGTAACATAGCCATAGTCAACTTATGTACCAGCGGTCGAGTGCTGCAGTGCCATTCGTGTTGATCAGAAATCCAGCGACTACGAGCTGATTATCGGTGTCTTCAGAGCATTGCCGGTGAGTTCCGGATCAGCGCCGAATATTTTCAATGGGAGTCAGCTGCCACACGATAGATGAGCTTCTGTGCTTCTGTCATGATGCGTCTCTTTGTCGGCTGTTTACACAACCATGTAGAGAGTGGCAACTAGCCACGAAAGCTAAATCCATAAAGGTCATGATAGACAAGTCCAGGTACTGGCGGACATGATCCAGTCACTTGCTCAATGACGCCAATGGGTCTAAACTATTTCCTCCAGTGCATAGCTTCTATGCCCGTTTATAAGAAAAATTCAACGCCACCAAGAAATCAGCCGTCAGTGCTTGGCTACCCACTTTTATCTCCCGAATTCTTGGTAGACGATGTTCTGGCAGGTAGATCCACTGTGCAACGCGAACATGTTTCTCAACTGCTGTCGCCTCATCAGCTTTCCAAACTGGTTGACCGCTTGCATTGTCGTAACATTGATATGCCCTTCCCCCATCACTTCTTCAGACAACACAGGGTCAAAAATGGATCGATAAACTGAAGGTAACCAGCATTCACTTTTTTGTTCACTACTGTCATCTTCCTCGTCTTTTTTCATCCCTCTATGATGTTCACCCTCGTCTAGGTCGTATCACTGTGGTCATTTCATGAGTTGTGCCCTTATTGTACTCAACTCTCCAGCAGTTATCCGTGGTTAAAGACGCAATTGCATGTGCAGTGTCTTGCATGCCAGTCTTCGTTTTTTCCTCATTGTACAGGACGAATTGGTCCTATTTGTGCACTTTGCTCGTCCCCAGATTTTACTGTCCGCCCTTTGTTCTTGACCATCCTATCCGGGAGCACTTATTTGGAATATATAATTGGAGGGCTATTTTCACGCATTACTTGTCAAGCTTGAGAAGTGAGTGCGCACAATACGTCGTGCCTCATGAGTGTCCCAGTCGGATGCTTTTTCCGTCATTAGCGTTTGTCTCTCTCCTTGGTTGCCATTTAGCTTGTGCGGCTGCTGGGTCGGTTGATTGTTTCTAGTGCTCCATAATTGTAATTTACTGCGCACTGAACACGAGTTCACACTCGGTGCGGGCTGACTGACCAAGTTATCACTTGCTTGAACAAAGTTTGAGTAGTTATTTTTCTGTTTTTAATTCCTTCAGTGGTTGTTTCCCCGTATTCTTTCCCAGACTAGTCCGTCGGACCGTACCGTCGTGTTTTCATTTTTATCTGCTTAGATACTGTGCTTCCGTGTGATCATGACTATCAAATTTTTCCGGCTACATTATCTCTCTTGTCTTTTTTATTTTCCGTTGGTCTATTTGCATTGAACTCTATTTACCGTGGACTGGCCAGGTTGACTTCTTTATATCCATTTTTACCTTTGTCACTTTGTAGCACTGCATGAACCTCATCTACGATTAATATTGGTACTAATTCAGAGTATTAATGGAGACCCAGGATATCGCACGCCTATCATGTGTTCTCGTGAAAACTCACTGTCACTGGTGAACGATATATCAAGTTACTACTGTTAATCTCCTCTTTGTGGGCTGTTATTAGCAACACGTTACTGTTTATATCGCTTTTGTGGTAGCCATTGTCAGTGGGACCGTTGCTTACTCACATTATTTTTGTTGCTTTGATTGCTATCATTGCTAATAATAACCGTAAGTACGGTAGCGTAGTAGTGCCATTTAAAGAGCGCTTTGATGCAGTTGAAATCAATTACTCAATGAAGGTTTTTCTGAGGGTATATTCTCTCTTTCTGTCTCAGTTAATGCAGAACCCTTCCGACCAAGATTCTCAGCCTTCTAGCTTTGCGGCTTCAGTTGTGCGCTCAAAACAACTTGATATATAGTGTTAACTCACTCAGTCAGTCCCCGTTGTCTGCCGTAATTATAGCACCCTTTCAGTGTTGGTTCGTGGACTTTTTTTCTTTTACTGGCAAATATTTTCATGCGCTCTATTTTGGATTCACCAATTTAACCTGTTTTCAAATGTCCTTGATTTTTACAATAGCTGGAGTTTGATAGTCTGTACTCTCTTCTAAGCAACCGAAAAGATTCGAGTGCGTTTCACCCACTAGCCGGATCCGATCCGCCTGCAGACATCACAGCTGAATGCACCACATCGTCCACGGACATTTCAGCATCACCTCTGTCTATAAACAACTCACCTGCTGGTAGCGCAAGTGGTATTGTCACCAGCTTCTTGACAGCTGCTGGATTTGGTCGGAAAAGAACACGTATCCTTTCAGGCTCAGACTCCAACGTGGATGTAGTCTGTTCTAATGCAAACACAACTGTTGCTACTAGAATGGGACCTCCGTTGTGTCCAGAGGCTGCAAATTTACTTCTTGCGCTAATTCGAAACCTGTTGTTGTGGTCCAAAGTGAGTTTTATTTTTTTTATTTATTTATGATCCAGCTGTAGGTACAATTCGTAAGCCAACTTGGACTCTTTTACCAGGAGGCCTGATCACATCTGCTACTGGAATGTCCGCATTCTGTTGAGTGATTTCACTCAGCGGATAACTGTGCGTAGTCTTCACCATTACTGGCTAGATTTTTCATGTTTGTCCTAGAGCGAACTATCGAACGCGGGCGTTGCGTGAATCCTTTAGCGTGCATTGGCACCCACTACAGGCTCTACTCCAGTTGTCCAGTGGATAACTGCATACGGTCGTAATTGCCTTGAGTGACTTTGTCCACATTGACCTCTTTTATTGAAACTCCGTCTCATCAAGAATTGCGAGTGCTCTTTTATGTATTTCGCCGTCTACACAGTCGCCTTTTAAGCGGATTCCTCTGCCAGAGAAAGTTTTTGCGGTTAGCTACAAAGTACGGTGGATGGGATATCTAGATGCGATACGCTGATACTTGAGTACTCGTGTAAGTCGATCAGACGATTCCATCCGTCATATCCTGGCTAGGTTAGGTCTAGGACAGCGATGTGAAAACAGCGACAGACTTATCATCTTCACTGTATCGAACAACTTAGTCATCACCAATGCACATTTCCAGAACCCCAAGAGGCTTTTACCAACGTGATGTTCGAATTGCTCCCATAACCTCCCAACTCGACTTCGCCTCGGTACAATCTCGGTGCATATTAGCGATAGAAGACCGGATGTATCAAAGAGCCAAAAAGGGCTTTGCCCGAGGATCGGACCACAATCGTGCGACCGACAGTCGAACTTCATCTTGCTGAAAGACCTAAGACGTACCAGCATTATTCCACTCGAACATAAAATGTCTTAATACCTCTAATAGCACAACAGCGCAGCTGACGAGCAACTACTTGTGTCACCCTGGAAATCATTTGGTTTTGATGGACGATCAGTGGTCCGTATCTTATAAATCTACCCAATTAGGAGAACTTTCTTGTTTACACCACCCAGTGACACAGCTATCGCGTTTCAGACAACAAGTTGTGCCTATATCTATTGCAGGAGTGCCCCAACAAGCCTTGTAACTTCTGAAATCTCCGGAGTTGTATTACTAATTGCCAGTGGCCTGGTCGAGCTGAAGTCATTTCGGTCGATAATTACTCCAAAAATAAGAAAGTTGTAAGATAGGATTGCACTTCTCATGAACCATATTAATATTGCCTTCCTACAACCCATCAACCACTACACACACTGTTTTGTCCCATTTGGGAGGTGAAGTTTCCCCCTTCTCACGGAATTCATAACTTTGCTCCCAACCCCTGAGAATGGTCAGTCAGTCAGTTTTTCGGCTTGCAAACAGTGCATCTAAATACAGTGGTTCCATCTACTACAGCTCTAAGGAAAATAGGGAAATGAGGACCACGTGTTTTAGGTGGTGACCCAATCTTAGTTGTTACTGGCAAATTTTCAGCCTCCATACTGCTCGAAAATACTCCTAGAAAATCCAAGATGATCAAGCATTTCTCATTGTGTCCATAGGCAAGACGTATGACTCCTCTCAATCTCCAATGTCCAGGTTATTACTGACCTATTCTGTTTCTTTCTGTGCTTGCTCGATGAACGCTAAATTGATAATCCGCTTGTTCCGGCTCCACCGGTCTAACTGTTGCATATACCTTATACTCCTGATTGCTTGACTCAGTTGCACCCATATGCTGTCGTACCCGAAGGGCAGAAGGATTGGGCCTCTGACTTGAGCTTGCATTTCGCACACAAAAAACGGACTAGAGATGAAATTCTGCTGTCTTGCTTGCAACGATGCGTGAGCCAAATGCAGGTGCGTATGCACAATATGTGACGTGTGGGTTGGGTGCTCTGAACACTGAGCGGACGAAGTAACAAATGAGCAACTAGGAAGTACAAACATGCTTTAGAGACCGAGCAATGAGGATGAAATCCTTTCCAGCTAGTCCGGCTTATACAAAAAAAAGATAATAGATCCAGTTTGCAAGTTTAATAGTGAACGTTGCATCGGACCTGTGGTATGGCGCTATTTTCTGGCGTCTGACATGCACAGCGGAGTACTACGTCGTCAGCATGCTTGAGATGAACGAAAAATCATGGATAGGTATGAATAGACTTACAAGGAAAAAATAACGGAGAGTAAATGGTACCTTACGAAACGCCTGTATGTGTTGAACGAATTGTTGAACTTTCGCTACACTTGTGAAATGAGTCTGGTTGGTGAACTAGCCTCTAAGATGCCGATCCGGACCTGCTTCACCGTCACATATTCAAGGGAAAGTTTCAACAACAACCTTATGTCAGCGTTGCTAAAAGCAATATTGCAGTCCAGTAAGACCATCCGAACCGCCTTGCTCTTACAACCAAGTGATTAACTGGTCGATTACGCTGAGTAAGTAACAGTATACAACTTCATTTGCGATCTTCGATAGGTAAACTGGGGTCATCAGGTAACAGTGTGGTTATTCTTTCACATCCTGTCTCAGAGAGTTTCAGAGATGCGGATGGGCTAACGGAATGTTCGATATTTCGACTAAATTTTTTGAAGTATAATTCTTGCCACTAATAATCAGTTATTTTCTCCAGCATTGAAACCTTAATTAGGGAAAGCAGTTACTGGTTCTTTGATAATGTCAAAACTAAATCTGAATAATATCGGTGGCAGAAAATCAGGGGCAATCGATTTTCTAGCCTTCAATTCTATAAAGTTCTACGCGGCATCGCTCGCACTGGTGGGAATATGGCTTAGCTCTCTGAAGCGAACGAAGGCGGCCAATTGTTTAGCTGTACCGGTGAATTCGTGATTGGATCTTTTCACGTGGCAGTCGAGAAAACAATATTTTTAATTGCTACCACGTAGCTGACTTTGGGTATTCCACACGTAGTTATTGTTGCTAAGTTTCCACTAGACTGTCTTCTGAGCTGGGCAGTTTGATTGCAAACGTTTTATCACCAATCGAGGTGATATCATCACTGCGTTGTTGGAGAGCGTAGTGGTGCGTTGTGTGTGGTTGTGCCTTGGGTACTCAACGCGAGCAAGCCATCTACGCTACCTGAGCTACCAATATTTTCCTCTATAGAAGACTGTTTTCTACTGGTTAAACCATTGATCAAATTTGCTCCGCTCCCCACTCTAGGGCTCCGATCGGGCTTCCGGCTCGAACTGGGCTGAAGACTATTCGGATGTTATACTGCGTTTCTTGATCTTCCTGTACCGATCGAATTTGACGTTCAGGTCGATCGCCATGAACCCTGAGTTTGTCAATGGCCTTGTTGGTATCGTAATCGCAGCCTCCGTTTGTCAAGGGTCACACAAAACGGGAAACGTGAGTTCTAAACAGGACACCATTAAGTTATCTTGCCCAAAAACATCCATCAATATTAGCGAATATACACTCATTTGCAAACCAATTTGGTTCTTTCGAGAGACTCACCTGGAATCCAGCTGAATCTCTCGTTTATGATGTTCTCAGGTTGGGTTCTCAGCTGCTTGTTAGCGTAGGCGTACGTACTATAGTACGTACCAAACAGAGGTCGGTTTCGCGTACCGGCCATTGACTATCGAAGAGTTTTCGTAAACCTTGGGAGTCAACAAATGGGTTGACTTTCGATTTACTCAAATCCTTGCCATCTTAATATGGTCGTAACTGGGTCCTTGTTTTATATGCAAAATCCTTCCGGTTTCCGAAAGAAATTCTCCTGAGATAAATGCAGATTCTTACATCAATTTACCGTTTCAGCCTATTCCTCGGAAATGTCAACATCCAACGTCATCTCAGGAGAAGTTCTCATGCGTAATACTTAAAGTCAGTCTGGAATTTCTGAAAATCATCGTGTCGGACAGTTTTATGCTACCACCTTCCTATCACCAACCAACGAATATGGTCGACACACTGTTGGATGTGAGTTTCGGTCGTTCATTCCATTTAGCATCGGCCAATTCGTCCCTTAGCACATGTCAGCCGGTTATGGTCGCTGTTGCAATAGATTACAGCGTTCACATATTAGATCCTGGGTCTAGTTTACTGTTGTTTACCCGAAATTGTTTGTTTATGATGACGATACTTACTCGAAGCATATTGGAACTCTTTCTGATCACCATATATGTTGCCTAAAGAGCTGCTCTGATCTGAAGTTGTCGTGGCTTTCACAGCTTAGGACTTTTTCCAAGGGAGCTCCTTACACTGATGTACCCGTGGCTCATCTCGGTCAGTTAGATCGTGTGGTATTTATGTGACCACTCTCAACGAACATAACATTAGCCGTCTGTACAATCTACCAATCTGATACACAAATTTTTTCATCTTCCTGCGCGTCCGTCCTCAGTGTTCGAAAGGTGGAGTTTTTTAAACGGATGGATCGATAAATGATCTCCCCTACAATTTCTGGAGTATCAGTTGCATCAAAAGGTATCCACAGTAGGCGTCTTCTTGGAGGGTATAGACACCGACATCAGACTGTCTCTCAATAAATGTTTATATTTAATCAAGTCGGTATTTTAGTCAGTTTTTACCTAAGCTTTCAATGGAAAGAGAATTCATTTATATAAAACAAGCTCATGCCTAAATCATCGCCCTCACCAACACTTCCTTTCGGCCTTGGTGTATGCTCGAAAGCGCCAGACCCACATGAGCGAACGGTCCCGACTAGCTCACGCCGTGTATTTGAAGACAGCTAAGACAACATTTCGTAAGGATCTAGTTTACTTTAGATTATCTCAGGCTATCAAGCATAGTGCTGAATGGGTTGATCCATGTTCGCCAAACCCTTACAGCCTATTAACGGTTGCATCCACTCTACACCGCAAGTAGGCAAACTGTTGAACTCGAAATGATGGTATTTCGGTAGGTACTGCTTATCCTATTGAGCCCTAAATCCATTTGAAAACCACTCATTTATTGTAATCAGTATGCATACCTGTCTCTGCTACACCTAACAGTTCGAGTGAGTAATGACCGTATATGTTGAGCCCTGTGCGTAAGGTTTAGCTTACTCACAGAACTGTGTAATATGATTCCTCGCTTACTGTTGATGACTGATTTGGTTACTTTCACTAATTAGAAGTAATACTGTGCTAAAAGAAGCTGGTCTTTCACGACCTGAACTGCATTTCACTTCTAAAGGCTAACTTGTCAGGCTTGCGTATTTCTGCTTGTCTATGCTCGCTCTTAATTCCTCTCATAGGCTTTATCCGACCACTGCCGATCGAAGCAATATGATGAATTGGGCACAGATGTCTTGTGTGAGCTGATGGAACATTTTACGGCCACCGACTTACTGACTGACGAAAGGCTGTGTGTGCCTACCGGAGGTGACCGTCGTTATATCCCCCCGCAACTGGTTTATTTTGCTGCCAGAGTTGTTGACAAGCTATGGCAGGTGAGATTTGATGCATTTGTCGATATGCAATTCTTGTGTATTTTTACTCGTGTTCCCAATCACAAACTACCGGATGTCTAACCTGCAATCCTTGTTATCTAGTGACATGTTGACTGTATGAGACGTGTAGTCGTTTCCAATTGAGATTCAGTTTTTTTTAAATTGCATCACGTGTGGCGTTCGCAGCTCACCTGAATTGTTTCATGCAAAATAGCTTCTCCAGAGAGGCAGATTAAATACCTATTTGCGGAATCTACCGGCATTTCGTCCGGTACCTAGTCCTAACTCTTACGTGGTTCCATTCATCGGAAATGTATCTTTCGTTCAGTTTATTTTCTGCATTTCATTTCGGCCTGTCTGAGCCGAAAAAAAAGTTGATTGGCTCATCGACTGATATAAATTGTTGTGGCTCTCTGTGCCTGTCTGTGCAAATGACACTTGGCAGTCATCGCCATGTAATATCGTGGAGTCATCAGTCTATGCATTGATCAGGTTTTTGCGAAAGTGAGATTCTTTTCATTTCTTCTTTCACTAGGGCTCATTTTGCGGCCAAGTGATCAAATTGGTTGCTTTTCTGGACTATTTGATCACCCAATGGCCAACACACCGTTCTCAAGTTCCAGTAATCCCTTGTTCAGGGTCGGAGCACACTGACCAGCGTTTTGGAATTGAATCACTCTTCCGAAGTTTAAATCGAGCCATCCTGTATCAGTTCTCACGTCCCATTTTAACTCAAACAGACCAACTACAACTCTTAGAGTTGTTTAGACATATCTGGACAACTCGATCGTCGTCCATGGATTCCTCTCCAGCCGTTGTTTCTCGTAGTTCATTGGACCTGTCACTCGGCACATCTACAGAATGTAACTCAATTTTGTTTTCGGCAGCAAACGAAGATCCAGACTTCCCACCTTGTCTCATCCACCTGCTTATGCAGTTGGTCCGTGTGGAACAGAGAAATCTTGATGCTACGGAGCATGGCACAAATATATCTCCTCCTTCCGCCCCACTTCCAAAAATGGAAGTATCAGTGAAACCCGTAGATACACAGATAGAATACAATTCTGGTGTGAAGGACTACTACCGCACTGCTTTTTGTGAGGTCGAACTAGAAACATATGATGAAAATACCGGCTTCTTAACTTCTCCAAAGTTGAATAAAGTTGTGCAATCCGTGGATCAAGTGGATACCCCACTTTCCTGTCAAACTACCACGACCAGCGCGTATACTTCTGTGTCAGCAGTCAATTCAAATCTGGTTGTTCAAGCTGCACTCCTACTGTGGTCTGAATGTTATCTAGCGAAGAAAACAGTAAGTCTTCGTTCATTTCACAACAACATAGATCACTTCGTACACGTGAGGCTTAATCCCCTCGCTTTTAATCATTTGTCTCTCCAGCTAATTGCCACCTTGGTCCCTGATACGCCTCTGGTTAGTGGTCTTTCTGTACCATCTTTAACGGATTGGGCTCCAGTGCTGGAGGCGCCTTGTTTAATGGCCTGGGCACAACATGTGGACAGTGAAGCTGCTGGTACTGGTGGTACTGGCCCCGAAACTTTGTGGGGCCGTATTCCCGGGCCGCCAATGGCGGACTTGTTAGCTGTCGCAACTGGACTTGCCTCTTCGCCTCCGCTACCTCAGAACGGCAGCATACAAGGTTCATCTATATCCGGGCTACATCACCAAATATCTCTGCGATTGAGTCGGTTACCAGGGGGCGTGTTCAAATTCGGGAGTGGAACTCCGTCCGCCTCTGGAACCCCGCCGACCGCAACCCCACGTTTAACGGAGTCTGCGATGGGTTCGGCGGCATCTAACACAACACCTTCCATTTCCCAGATTTTCAAGTCCTGTCTGGTTGCTCACCACCTTCAGATGCCCAATCTGGAAAGCGTCCGTGAAGTAAGTTTTAAAGCACCGATAACCATTGTGTATGCAACTTCGATGTCGTTGGCACTCTGAAGAGGGATTTCTGTTTATGCTGGCCATCACTGTGTAATTTCGAGTTGACTGGTACGGACGTTCACCACACTAGCTCCGCTTTATCCGTTGCTGGAGCCTTCCTCTTCACTTGGACTGCTGATGTCCTCTTTTGAGTGTATCTCTTACTGAGCAGGCATAAGGCATGTAGATGCAATAAACAACCTTGTAACTCAAGCTTTTATGGACGGCAGTCGAAGAATATCATGAGCGGTCGACAACTTGCTCCAAACTAGCGTAAACGAACAGAAGTTTGGTTATTCAATATTGCAAATGTGGCTAGTGAATGTGGTGATTGCTTTTAGTTCCATATAGAATCGCTTTTCTCTGCCATGGAACGCCTACGCTGATCAAGGACCCTTTCGTTCGTTCTTTGAAGTTTGTTCCGGTTTTGTTTTTCAGATGGCCTCCAAGAGCAAGACAATCATCACTCTTTGGCTGGCATTTCTTCCATATGCTGTACATAGGTATATGACTTTTGTGTTGTCGTTGTCTGAAACCTAATATATGCGAATCAGTGATAGTAACACATTCAACTTAACTGAGTTCCTGTGAAACGGGCATGATGTTTGGGAATCTTAGTAGCCTTTCAACAATTGGAGCCGCTATGGTTACTTTGTTATTGACTGGACGGAAATTTCTAGCGACACAAATCAGCCACTTAAACTAAACAGGGAATAGTAGCAACGTTTTGCGAAACTACGCTTAATAACACCTTGTTCACTATGAATACCAAGACCAATGTCATTGCAACAAACCGCAATAGTAGTTTGAGAAACGCGCCACAAATAGGGGATCATGTGGCGGACGCGCTCGTTCCAGTCTCTGGAAACGTTAGGCTTACATCTGCTGTAGATTCACGGCACGCCTGCTCTCAGTTGTTCATTGGATCCTGTTCTATGTCTTGACCTCTTTCATCAGTACGTTTCTATGAAACCTCTTGTTTAACACTACTTCCTAGTGTTTCACAGGAGTATGTTTGTTCCTTGTGTGTTTTCCCCTGTAGGCACTCGAAGTATGCGTTCCGAACCAGCTGGTTTATTTGCGCGATATGCTGGAACAACAACGAAAACAACATCATCGCGTGAGTGCTCATGTTTACGGACCCTAAAGCTGTTAGTAAACTCTGTAATAGTCCTCAGGTTACCTCAGTGTAATCGAATTTCTTTTGGCTCCATCTTACGGCTTCATACCGTCATTCATCTTTTTAGATCGATTTCGGTAATTTCCTGAGACCGTTACGGTCAAGCAAGTATATGTGACTCGGGTCGCAAATCTATCGCAAATCCATGGCCAATAGTATTGCAGCAATTGCTGTCGTATGTGAAATAATTTTCGGCGACCAGAAGCACATACCGATAGGTTGACCGGATTCAAACATATCCCAACAGACAGCCAAACAATTAAGAGTAAAGTGGCCGTTTTGAATGACACGATGGAAGCATGCTGGATGTTCATTTCCTTTCCATTGGTACTCTATGTCGCTAGACAAATGACCTTTCCATGACATCAGTCAGGTTAGAAGACAATGAATCCTGAGACCTTAGATGTATCTCGACTATCCACCGTTAGTGCGTGACTTGATCCAGTGGCCATAATCCAGTCTATCCTGCCACACACGTAACAAAATGGAGGCGGAAACTAAGTTCCTTAATATTGTCCTTATGTGACGAATCGATTGGAATATCCAATGTCAGCATGAGTTTTTTTTATTTAGCCCGTGATTCTCGAATCTTAGCCTTACATCCATGAGGAGCGTTAAAAAGTTAGGGACAGTATTCTTCTGCTTTGTTGTAGCCGAATCTCTTGGTAATTTTAAATGCTGGGACCAAATTAATAGCTCACATTTATTCGTACCCGTCATTCACGCAAATGCGGCTGTATAGCGCTGCGGCTTACCGGAAAAGCTGTCATCCAGGGGGACTTGCGGCTTTTCCTGGTACGTCCACTCAATGAATCACAATATGAATCCTGTACACATGTATGCATTGTGTTTCGTAGAAGATCGCCTATCTGTAACACCCATTCTGCGCTGTTTATTATGCTACCGGAAAGAAGCACAAGGGCTAAGATACCGCCAAGTTGCCCAAGCCTGAACAGGAACAGTTGAATTTCACAGATTGGGTTCGAGCTAGGGACCTTCCGCGCTTTAACTACTCTGTTTGCTCAAAAGAAACTTCGTTTGGCTGGTTTTATCCCTCTGGAAGTGGCAATATACGTGATAATTTACCTTCCCGTATGGCTATAAAGATTTGCAAACCGGATAACCCATACGGTGAACGTGATTTATCCTCAAGCGATTTATGGGCCAGTGGCCATCCAGACTGGATTTCTCGACGCGACATGTGAGTTTGATTATGCCAAGAACATAGGAAGTCGGCTGTCATATAATCACCTCTCTTTGATACATAAATACGGTTTTCTTGTCGCCGAATCGTGTGTCGTCGCTGTTCTATGCTGCAACAACTACTCAGGAATCAACCAACTTGTTAATAGGACTTTATGTGTTTATTATCTGAGCGACGAGAATTTCATCAAAACGAACGTCTGGGTACGTCTCTTCCTAGCTAGTCAAAGGACTGACACGGTCGTACGATAGTTTAGCTTAAGCACATCTGGTTAACGCGGGACAGGGTCTGGGTTTAGAGGCTCCGTTTGCCGCTATGTATTAGATTTGCTGAAGTTTGCCGGGAGAAACAGCAACCGGTATATCGTTCACAGCTCAGGTCGTCGTGGCATTGTGTATTCATCAGTTCTTGCGAGCTTTGAACCTAGCCTTCGTTTTTTCGCTTCGCTCAGTGCGTATGAATGACCGGCCACCACTCTCAAACGAGTAAACAAATCCGTAGAGCAACCCAACGCCCCTTTAATTTTACCCCAAAGCACCTTAAAGTATGGACTCAGACGAAGCATCTGTGCACATGCTATCTTAGTTTGACTCTAACATTTGTGTTACCGGTCTTCATTGATTGCTTTGCCACTTGCCTTATACACTCTATGTTTATAGTCTGGCCCTTTTTTCTATTTTATTCGTCATACTCTGGTCTGTTGCTCCAGTTCCTTGTGGGCTTCAAATTACGTTCAGAGGTTTGTCAATTTACCTTCGAACTTTTTACACTGCTTGCCTTCTCGTGTTCACTCGCCCTATTGAAATGATAACTTTAGTCCGAGGCGACCGACCTCGGCAATTAAACCGATCAAATGCTAGACATGTGACTGCGACGTTCTCACCCGTGGTCACTTTCTGGGCCGGTTTCGTTTTCCACTCTAACTTCACGCTATTGTTGATTTTAGCGGATAGAGAAAACACCAACGTCATCCACACTCCACCGAAAAATCTAGAACAAATTGAAAGCAGCACAGTTTTTGGCTGATACCCCCTATTAACACGCCTTTAATCTGACAAAAGTTCATGTGCAGGCTTGAACTCCCAGTGTCCTCTAATACGAGGCTGTACATGCCACATGCATGGAATGAATTGGATTTTTCGTTTGCCAGTGTTGGTCCAGGGCGATTTGGAGCATCCTTAAAAGACCAGCAAAGATTTATTAGGATCTTGCGATAGTGCCAACATATGTGAGTTCGTTTTCCAGTGCACATTCACGGTCTTATGCCTAAAATTATCCCATTATACTTATTAGAATGTTCTTCACGAGTGCCAGGAATCCACTGGTCGGAACTGATGTAAAATCCTTCGAAAATATCCCTGTGGAACACAATGCTGGCCTGATGTTCACAAAGTTCAACTTAATTAGATGTATCCATTTAGAGAGCGCCTTTATAATGTTTCGAATAAAGCCACCCAACTGGTGTTTTGAAAGTGAAAGTTATGAAAGGTATGAATAAAAGGTTTATCTGCTCAGAAATCCACGCAAGTGCGGTTCGTCCAGTTACGCCCAAATACTCCTCGTATTCCACCAAACCAATTGGTTTGACCATTTGGATGGATTGCGCACAAACTCCCAGAGATAGTGGGGTCCGTAAGTCACTACAGTCTATTCTTTGCTACACGAGTTTAAGCTTAGTGTTTTCGGTTTGGATCGCTGGGAGGCATCTCTCCATTATAATTGTTGGTCATTTTGCTTCAGTCCTCTTATGCTATCGCACTGATATCTGTAACTGGCAGTAATACTTCACAGGCCGCATCAGTCGGATGGACAGGAACAAATCATCTTGCTTAATTGATCAAGCACACATTCACTGTTGGCGTCAGTCTAGGCCGTTTTTGAGTCGATTGGGCAATTGTGTTTTCGCTAGTGAATTTCCTGTTGAAGCTACCAATTGTGCTTATTCTCTCTTAGAACATGGGTTTCATTCACCGCCGACTGGAGTTGGAATGGGATAAAGTGGAGCTGGAGTTGACACGTGAGCGTGGTCTTTGGGGCCCAACACACCCGGATCTTCTAATGCGCTGGAAGCTGGATCCAACAGAGGGACCTTGTAGAATGCGGAAGCGAATGATTCCCAACCCAACGTTTTACATGCGTTATCCATACCACCCTTCGCTCCCGAGTAAAACTAGTGTACATGGCAAGGTGAGTTTTCTTCGATCTACTGATCTTCTGTGTTTCACTCTAATGAAAGGAAAATTATTCAGATCTTGCACCACCAAAGCACCCAGCTGCATCTCCTAACCAGCCACCTAGCACATGAAAGCTGGCGCTCCGCTGTTTTTTCTTTCCACTACTTCAGAAATCAACTGGTACAACTTTTAGCTCTAGGTTTAACTCCGTCATGTATGTCTAAGGTTGATTGCTTTAGCTATTTATTATAACTAATGTTCCTTGCTAGTCTATCTGACATTCCCACGAATGTTTGTTTTGCTGAGATTTAGAATGAGAACCGCATCTTCTATCTAAAACACCCAACTGCCGATTTCGCCTAATGACCCGACTGGTTGGAATATGTTACTTTTCCGTACACATTATTCTGATTTACTTGAGTCCGGAATGTTCCCACTGTTATGGAGTTGACGGTTTTCATTTGGCATAAAATAGCAATTTTTCTCGGAACTCAAGTTAACTCCTGCTGTTCGTACTATACTGTACGTTTCTCATTATTGGATAGTCCGCCCTGTAGCTTAACAGATTATCTGTATCCTCATGAAATTTGTCTGACGAAGTGTTGTCTGCGCGGGCCACCCAACCATTTCGTTTCCTTTGCACTGGTGATTTACTATGTTTTCCCACCTTGTTTGGGTCGCCCTCGTTTACAATCACATATTGTTACTGTGCCTTCCAGTCCAGTCTGGCCGGTTCAATTCTCCCATCTACGCTGAGATGTCGGCAGGCAAGGAGTCGATTTAGTCAGTTGTATTTTCTAAACTACCGATCGCGAAGCATTTTACAGGAAGACTGGGGTCCACTGACACCATGGCTACCACTCTTAGCTGAACAGGGTAAAACTGGTCATACTTCTCGAAAGTTATCCATGTTCCATGCGGCGGATTTGGATACTCTGGAGGCAAACGAATCTGACGAAGGACCCAATGATGAGCCTGAACAACAAGATGACCTTGAAAATTCACTGCGACGGTCACTGGATCCAGAGGAGCTTGATCGTAAGCTAGCCATTTATCTCACCCCTGTTGGAATTTATGATATTGTATTTTTTATTTCACAGACTACAGTTTATTACCGCATTTTTGTTACTGTATTCTGTGATAATACATTATTGCTCTTGTTTTTTCGAGAAGCACAATAGCCAGCTGAATGTACTGACCATTCGGGTTCACTTAAGCCAATTCGTCCATCAGCTGGCCGTCCAAATTTGTATCGCTGAGCATGCGCATAGACAAATCCGCTGGCCTTGCAGAAGAGGTCAGAAATGATCCTCCTTTCTTTTTCCTGCAAGCAGCCAGAATTTCAGCCTTAGTGAATGGGTACCTACGGACATATACGATGTTATATATATATATATATATATATATATATATATACGTCTGCTTTCGCCCGACTTATATTTGTAGTTAGCCAAAACAAATGGGCTGGGACAGATGGATGAGTGCGCACTGACGCAGAACGAATTTTTTGGGTTCGGTCGTTCGTCTGATATTCATCGCGTGTTAGAACACTTCCATCCAGCTACCGTCGCCGTTTGTCTTCACCAACTAGGGGGAAAGTCCCGTGCGACGTGAGCCTCATTTGGCAGAAAACTTTTCGCGCATTGTTTTGTCAATCCGGTTGCAATTCCAGTGATGTTCGTATATGTAAACGGAGTGATCTCTGAACATTTCCTGTTGAGACTTATGCTTGTTGTAATCAGTATCGAAACCTGATATCACTGTACTGAATCGTTGGGGTACTTCTTAGCTCTCTGTGCGATCCTGACTCTCTTTAGCCATGGAAGGAATATATTCAATTGAAAGTTTTGTCATTGAAACATAACCACTTCTTTCACACGTGTGTGCTTGGCTGTTTTGCGTGAACTGCTTACATGAATGGTCTTCAACACCCATCCTCCCGATGGGGACATACTTGAGCATAACAAGGATGACAATGCTCAACTGCGTTGCAAGAGTGTCAGTCGATGGATCGTTAAACCGGGGCTTAAGCTAGCAGGTGTGCGGTTTTGACAACTTGACACAGTTTCTCATTAAACAACCTAAACCTCGCGACATAGTCAGCAAAACCTGAGTTAACAACTTGCGTTTCAGCGAATATACACCCATTTGCAAACTAATTTGGTTCATTCGAGAGACTCACCTGGATCCCAGCTGAATCTCTTGTTTATGATGTTCTCAGGCAACTGAATGTGCTGCACCAGGCCGCCTCATGTTTCAGTCGCTACGATATTTGAAATATCGCGATACATGTGTATGTTTGTAATGTACTACTCATAAGGTTGCTGATGTATCGCGATATTTCAAATATCGTAGCGACTGAAACATGAGGCGGCCTGGTGCAGCACATTCAGTTGCCTGAGAACATCATAAACAAGAGATTCAGCTGGGATCCAGGTGAGTCTCTCGAATGAACCAAATTAGTTTGCAAATGGGTGTATATTCGCTGAAACGCAAGTTGTTAACTCAGGTTTTGCTGACTATGTCGCGAGGTTTAGGTTGTTTAATGAGAAACTGTGTCAAGTTGTTGCGTTTCACTTTCTTGCTTGCGTTTTTGCTTCCTAAAAACCACGCCAGTACGTGGTTGATGGTTACGAGCCAGAATGCAACCAATGCTGCTGCTAGCAGTACCATTGACAAGCCTCCTAGAATCCAGTTTCAACACACCGCTAAGTGCATTCTCAGCAAAGGCCGTCAACATAAGTGAGGTTTTGGAGCTCAATATGGAGGGCATTTCAGCGCAGTCTTCTAATTGGACGTTATACACTGGGTAACTACTGGAATACCTTCTTATCGTTTTGTGTACCACTAAATTATGCACATCAGATGAAAGCTACGCACTCAGTGGGGTTACAGTGGTTTGTTGAACATGTTGTGAATACTGTTTGTTCAAGCATAATTTTAGCAATACTTATAGGAAAATTCCTCTTTATAGGGCAGCGTGAAGTGCTGAACACGTTCTTTAGTAAAGACTGAAGTTAACTACCCTTGGTTTACGTTGTGAATACATAATCAGTGTGGTTTCTGAGTAAACATTAACCTGACCTTATTTTGTCGGCCAGTGTGTTTAACAAGTAAGCCTTTCACTAATTGGTGTCCTTTTATTCAGAATCGTTGAAGAACACCGTATCACTACTACGGCTGACCGGAAAATCTCCGTCCTACGCTCCATCCGAAACGGATGACGTCGATGAAGTCATTGCCCCCAGTGGAAACGTACCAGGTGGCATGGAGTCCATCCAGGAGGAACACTCCCGTGGACCTCTAGACGAAGATCAATTAAATGACGGACCTGACGAGAACAGTCCGTCAGCTGGTTCAGTGACGATGAACGAACCCGTCAAAAACGAGACTGTCTCCTGTGAACCGACGGCTCCGAGTTCAGCGCCTTACTCTTCTGTGATTATAGATGATGACAAGCAGCTGGCTAGTAATGATGCCATTCTTCGCCTTCTAGAACCTGGTGAACGCCCGACTGTGATGTATCGCTGTGCGCGAATTCTCGGTCTTGATGTTTACGAAGGACTTCTATTGTTTGGTCAATCTCATTTTTACGTCATTGACGGATATACGTTAATCAATACACGGGAAATCGTCGACATTGATTCTCTACCACCTGATGTCATACACGAACCGGTGGTGCCCTGTATGCACGGTGCGTCCAGTACCAATACCGTTCGTGGCGTTGAACGGACGAGTGTTGGGTCACATGTAACCGATTTATGGAGCACTGGAGCTGTGAGTCAGACATCGGGAAAGCAGTGAGTACAGTCTGTTTGGAAATCAAACTCTTATCTTTCACATTGATTGTTGTTTGTGTTGAAGTAAGTCTGTAGTTTCTTATTGGGAATCCGTCATTTATTCTATCTCTTTTTCTGTATATATATACCATTATTTTGGCGGTGATTATTCCAAGCAATCCGATGCTCAAGCTTATCACCATACATATTTCGTGTGGATTCAGTTCTACCTCGGAACAACCAGTTGAATACATAAATGTTTAATCCTAACTGTAACCAATGTGGTTACAATATACAACCTGTTGTTTTCACTTCGCTTACATGCCTTGCAGTCAGTTCCTTGTGCAGTTTTCGATCCCATATGGATATTTGCCTTTGTGTATGCCAATGCCCATGATATAGCCTCAGGTAGGTGGACCCTGTTGTTGCTCAGTTTAGTCCACATTGGGTATTGGATATGAGTGCAGCCCATCTGCATCTACAACCTCTACTTCGTAAGTAAATCTAATGAAATATCAGATGTTTGATGATAGCCTGGTTTCCCACACATATTCGGCGGACGTATGTTGCTGTATCACCGCGGCTTTCTGTATCCCGTGCCAGCCACGCAATACGCACTATCAACCAAGTTTTACCTATGAGTTCTCCTTGAAACCTCGGATCTCAACTACGTCCATTCACACATATGTGTAATGTGGGAACCGCTGTAGACCTGTTTGTTTGTTGCTCAGTTGCAACCACTGTACGACAAGTACGCGGTTTTTACAGCTCATAATGATGATGAACGCCGTTGAAATTCTAGTGCGGACAATTTTCTGAACGTGTCCGTTTATGCACGGCCACCGAATCCACTGAAAAGGTCCGGTTTAAACTTACTCTCAAATCGTGCAATATATGACGTCACTTTTAGCGGTGCGACTTGCCCATAATAATGATATGTAATACCTCTCCTTACTGAATAGTCGTTGAATTTGACAGCGTTAGTTGTTCTAGTGTTTAGGGCCTCGCAAAATCCGACAGTTTTTAGCCGTAACCCTGTGCCCCGTAACCCCGTTGGGCCCTAGTATTCAAGTCGCATACCTACAAAGTTAACGCAAACCATAAATTCTGATACTCCCATGACTAGTTTTCATGGAATTATTTTGGAGATCTCTTTAAGTCAAGTGAAATAGCGTTTGTGCACAAGGTTACAATGGTATCGTGAAGATTATTAAAAGTATCTATACCTCAGAGTAAAAAATACTTGGTGTTCTTATCATTGTACGCTTTAGGCACTGTGGATTAGCACATCGGATCGAATAATGAAACATTCAAGAGATCAGAGTTGAATCGGCCTGCCGTGCCAAGGCCACGCTGATTCCAGCTGCTACAGTTTCAGTTGCCAGAAAATGGGAGAGTGTGGAACATGGATCTTAGCATTAGAGACGATGGTATAATCGCTTAGTTCGATAAACTGCTAAGCCACGCATTGCAGACGATAACTTTGATTCATGAGCGCCACTGACCGCGTGATTGTACGGTGTTTGCCTGAATCACTAACCATTCATGAGATCAGTCCCAGGGCCCCCATCTAGGATATCACAGGGTTACTGCACGGTAGAACTGTTGATACGTTTTTGTTCAAACATACTAGAATAGGAGGGATAAATAACCTCACTTTTTAAAGTCACAGTAAAGACTCTATGGGGAGAGGACGTGAAAACCGTGAGGCATGGTAGGCTTCTAAAGCGACTCTTCTAACGTTGACCAGTTCTAAAGTTGACCAGAACTGAGGGAAAAGATGCCTTGCCGCTTCGTGCCATTAGAACAAAGAGTTGGGAGGAAGAACCACTCACCTGATACGTAGACGATCCGTTCACTATGCTTTACATTGGCAGTAGTCATAGTCAGTTAGTCGTCACCAGTACATTGAGGACATGCATAGTGAACATGGGGACTTATCAGTCGCCCCACTGATTATGAATTTTCTGCGCTAGGTGGTCGAACTAGTTCGACCGGACACTCGGAAATCACGAATTTCAAGGCCCTGGTACTTCCGATAAACTCGTGGTCACCCTCGCCTATGAGGATGAACAAAAAGGCGACCGATATTCCCTTATTAGGCCTAAACTAAGTGTCTGTTTGTGATTGAAGCGGATGATGTGTCTACTCTATTCAGAAGTGTATCTCATGTTCAATATGAAGGGGAGAGTACCGATAGCTGTATCAGGAAGTAACGGTAGAATGCTGTTTTTCACATCACCTTCCCACTCGTTAACAACTAATTAGAGAACCCGTTATTCTTCTGTTCATAGCGGCTGATAGTTTCAGACTATGTCGGATATACTGAGTGTGACACAACCCCGCTCACAAATAGCCAGGCTATGTGCTAGGTGATCAGGGCTAGCTCTTACTAGAACCAACCCGTCATTCCTCTACCTTCCAGTAACTTTTCCCCCTTGCCCGTTCTTACCGATCTCTTTTGAAATAGGTACTTCAAGTTTCCCTATGAAAACATTCAGGATGTATACAAGCGCCGGTATCTGCTTCAACCCATTGCTTTAGAAGTTTTCAACACGGATGGACGAAACTTTCTGCTAGCTTTCTCTAAGGGATTACAAGGGAAAGTCTATCAGCGGTATGTCTTTGCTGAAGTTTCAAGTGGCCTTTCGTATTCCGCTTATCATATCCATTTTCGGTTCATGGTTTCGTTTGGGATATCAATCCAATAGATAAGAGATAAAGATGTGTAACCTTTCTCACCAAAGCTGGACGTTTTCTCTACTTTGATCCAAGGTTTTACGTATGTTCTTCTTTCCCGATCATTTCACATCCTGTATATGCAAATTAGTCGTAGGCTACGATAGACCTAGGTGTTGCTGTTACGAAACGTAAGCTTAACGTTGCCTGGAAACATCACAACCGAGAGATTCAGCTGGATTCCAGGTGAGTCTCTCGCACAACCAAATTAGTTTGCAAATGAGTGTACTTCACTAAGTTTAACGTGCTTCAGGCATTCAGGTACGTTCGTGATACCTCTTTTGTAGGTTGTTATTTTCAAAGCCTTGGTCAGCCTCAACTTGTGACCGAAAAACTTATGCCCTGATGACGATCCTGTGTTAAGCATTGTCAAGGTCAACATGTCACCCGTGATAATCATTGATTTCTGTTTTCCTTCCTTGTTCCTCACGCGAAAACCTCATTAGCTTAATGGATGTGTTGTGGCAATGCCACTGCGATTAGTCTCCAGTCTCTACTTCTTTACGATTTTCTGGATTAGTGACGTGAACGCAGTAGACTGGTTTCATCGACTTCAGTCCATTCTTGGGGCTACTGTGACTATTCTGCATCCGACTCCTACTACTACTGATTGGATCGAGGAGTTAGTGTGAAACTGATGTGCTTGTAGGTGGTCGTCTCGTAAGCCGCAAATTCTGCTCGTTGGCGAGACTGAACAATTTTTGTGGTTGATGGTGCTGTGAAGAGAGTTGGGAATTTTTACTGGTGATTTTATCCTGTCAGTAAATCACTGTGCTGAAAAACCGGGAAGCACTGTACTGGTGTTGCATCCCTGTTTGGAATCATCAACAATGCGCACCTTATTTGAAAATTACCAAAACCGTTTATCAGTCTATAAACCATGGCTTACAGAAAGAACACTTTCATATAATTGGAACTTCCACCTCGTGATCATCGTCGTTATCATCACTGACACCACGATACCACCACACTGATACTATTAGTGCACAGCTGATGATAGCCATAATACAAATCAGAAGGTGAATGTGTGTGCACTAATAGAAGTTTTTAACATGGTTGCGACACATAAAAATGAATACAATGCGAAATGGGGAGCAAGTCAAAAAGGGAACTTATCGGATGCGAGAGTCCCTTGGTGGAAGTCCGGACGGCAGGAACGTGTTTTTCTCCGCAGTTCGACTGCTACACGTACTCCATGGTTGTCCGTGGACTTGTGGAGAAGTTGACGTCCTGCTCCCTGCGCGCGCGCGAGTCTGTGTGTCTTGACTGGGTTTGGTTTCTCTTTATGTAGGTCCCAGTGCGTAAACGTGGGCGCGTCGTCACATGATTGGTCGCTACGCTGACTAGGCGGTGCAGACAATCGATGTCCGATGAGTCAGCTTAATGCGACGTGTTTGTGCGTATGAGAAAAAAGACAAGCCTCGCGATCCAGTGAGCGACTGTGAGTTGAACAGTCAACTATGTGGGTGACTGGGTCGCTACAGTACCTCGCTGCCTTACAGTCATGAGGAACACGGTAAAACTGGATGAGAAATGGATTAGTGCTAGCTTACTACAATGATTCTGAGGTGCCTACACCTCCAGGCACACATTCAGGCAAGCTGGATAGAAACCGAAAACAAGAACGACATTGACATAGATTAGCAGCCATATCTTGTAGCGCCTTCAACCAGTCGTAATGGGGATCACGCGGTCCCTATCCCGGAAGGCAAGCAGCAGTGACAATACCCAAACGTTTCGTAATCCCTATCATACCCCTCCGCCAGTGTAAGGCTTGGCCACCTCTCTCCTCTTCCGCCACTTTGATTTTGGCGGAAAAAAGCACTCGTCGCAAACGATGGCTCGGCATATGCAATACATGGCCTAGCCAATGCAGCTTCTGATTCTGCACACATTCCTCAATAGAAGTCCAGGCTGTACAACCGAAGGCAGCTTCCTAGTTTGTTTCGCTACGACTTCGTTGACACCAACCCACACGAGCTCTTGTTCTCATACAACGGTTGTCAAACACCTGAAGACGTGTCAGTTCCGATACTCGAACAGGCCGAGTCTCACATCCTTACAACAAAACGGCCCCCACTGTAGCCTGACACACACATCCTTTGAGATTCCTGGATATACCTATTTGATGCCGTAGATATCTCAAATTTGCAAGCGCAACCCGCGCCTTGCGGATTCGTGTACTGACCTCATCAGAACTAATACAACTTCCAAGGTGCCTGAAACGCTGCACAACTTCGAGTGCCTCCTCTGGTTCGTAAGTGGCTTGTTTAGTGACTCCATGTCCAGAAGCATGCAGTGCATACCAAAACATGGGATGACTTTGGTCACTTCGTCGAAAAACACCTGTACCTTGTCATCTTGTAAGACAAGAGTAATGTCACCGCTTACTCCATATGGGCCTTTCCGTCAGAAGCTATTTGAACACCGGGGTTTCGAAGACTTTTCAGCGTTCGTCTCATTATCTCATCGATTAGAAAATAACATAGGGATGGAGAAAGTGGGCACCCTTGACGGACACCCCTTTGGGCGCAGAAGCCTTTAGAGAGCTCTCTTACACATCTGGAAGTACGTCTGGTAGTACATGGAACTTAGGTTCACGAACTTCCGGGGCAGTCCTTGATGGACGAGCGTGTCAAGGAGAACAGACCGGTTAACCAAGTCGAATGTGCCTTAGAAATCCAGGAATACTAAAATTGTGAGTCGTTTGTTTGCGTGACATTGTTCCAGTAGCAGACAGAGTGTGAGGATTTGATCAATGCAACCCCTACCAGGCCGGAACCCCGCTTGTTGCTCTCGAGTCAGTGTTTGACGAGCCACCATAAGGCGACGAAGCATCGGTGACGCCAACGATGGTTACTGTGGTTACCACAATCACTGCGAGCCACTCTTTTGAAAATAACCCTTATGGAGGAAACTGTTGGTAGCTCAGGTAGGGTAGTGGTTTTGCACAACCACTAACGCACCACTACGCTCCAGCACCGATGATGTCACTTCGATTGGTGATGAAACGTTTGCAATCAAATTGCCCAGCCCAGTGAACAAGCCGACGACTATGGCGCCTATCTCCAAATGCAGGCAAACAGATCAGATAAGCATCGACTGGGGACTTCACCCCCATCCTCAAATATTGTGGCTAGGAGGTCATCCGTACCAGAAGCTCGGTGGCGCTTGAGAGCACATATGTAGTCATGAATGTCCGAGGCCGTCGAGCTATCCACGTTCGTCGTACAGGGTGGGTTCCAGATGAGTGGCAGCTGGTGGCCACGATAACTGTTGTTCGAAGTACACTGCCCAACGGTCGAGGGGTTCTTTATTCAAGATGGTCGCTCCATTCTTATTCTTGGCGGTTTTCGGGACCGGTCGGACGCATCAACTAAAATAATCTTCGGACATTCCCGGCTTCCTGAGCCTCTTCCATTCCTTAGCTTTCCGTATCCACTAGATCTCACGGTCGACCCGTACATTCACCTTCATTTGACGTCTGACAATATTGTTGGGCCAAGTGTTGTTCGGGATTGGTTGGGATATTCGTTCAAATAAACTGATATGGGTTTAAGGCAGTAAAGCACCACTATTCTCTAGTGCTGCCTGGCTACCAGCAGGTATCCAGTCAAGTAAGGATCTTTCCCGGTGACTTAGGATGATTCCAACTGACCGTACAGGTCCTGGATCGCCAGAGCTGCGCAGCCGGAAGCGGTTAGCTCAGCCAGTGCGATTGCATTTTGTATTATTGTTTCTGATACACAGCACAAATCGATGTCAAGCGAGTCCACTGTGAGAGCAAGGGCAGTTCATTGATCTGTTTAATTCAGAGTGTCGACATTGAAGGCGGCCAGATAGGTGGCGCAAAGATGTTGCTCGCAAAACTGATGCGGGACGAGCGGAGTCGTCAATCCTACGTGCTAGACCTACAAGGACAGTCCTATTGATAGAGTTGGGATAGGGGGAAAGTCTGTGAACGAAAGAGAAAGGGGCGTCTGCAGTAGCCTGTCTCTGCTTACCCGCCCTGCTGTACGCAGCGGCTCGGATGACGCCACCACGCGACGACCTATATGAGCTGGGATACTGCCAGGGCGCCCGCACCTAGACAGAAGGATGATTAGAGTCATCAACCAAAGACTTTGACTGAAGAGCTTAACTGCAAAGCAGTGGTGTTTGGCTGGAAATGCAAGTGCAGAAGTCGCCACACATCTTCCAACCGACCTGGAGGATCAGCAGACTTTGTTCGTCAGGCCTCTAACCATTGACCAACCTTGTATGAGAGACTGCGAGTGTCGCGCGGACATCCCCAGTATAGCTCAGTAGGTCGGTGAGGTACACAAATTGTCTCAGCACTGTAAGGTCCATTCTCTTCGTTGCGTGGTAGTTGCCACTCGGTCAGCCAGTCGGTGGATTACTACATGTCGTGGTTTCTGTGGATGATGGGTGAGGTGCGCTATACGCTGTTTGAGTGAGTGCTATTCGCACTGCTGATCGTCTCCAACAAGGATGAACATCTGTACAGTGCTTCGCGTCTTCATCACAAATAGGCTTCGCTGACAGGATGAAGTTTCTTGAAATGTTTTTCATGTTTTCACTTTGTCCCGTCCCCCTCTTTTATTTAACTCACATTGTTTTCATTTTCACGATTTTCCCTATTGTATCACCTCTTTCTGGCTCCCTACAGATTCCAAAACGTGGCTGTCCTGAATTCGGTATCACTGTCCCTGATGAATCAAAAGAAGTAATTACTGTTTCCCTTCGGGTGTTTTGCTTTGCTTCAAATTCACATTGTGTCCCTATCCACACAAACTTATGGTCCCTAATCATGTGAATTTTCCCCGTCATCAGTCAAGATCACTTTAGGTAATAATATTACATTTAAGCTTTAAGTCTCCTTATTCTGTTGGGTTTTTTTTACAGTTTTGCACTTGATAATGGATAGTTTTGAATAGTGATGCAGTCATCTAGTTGGCTGTCTTGAGGTAGGACATTCATATCAAGCTTCCTCCAAGCTCGTAAAAGCGCGCTCCGAACCACAGCTGAAAACTGTACGACTCTGTTCGAAACGTTTTTCTTGTCGCTTAGTGATTCTACCATATGTACATCAGCTCACGAAGTGTATGCACCCGGTAAAGAAGTGTCGTCTTTGCTAACCGTTAGAGTTTGACAGTCTTAGGAACCTATGTTGAAACAACACTACCCACTTGTAGGATGTTGCTTGGTTTAAAATATATTATTCCCATATGTACTTTTGGATTCTTATGCCTTTATTTTTATTTTCAGCACGCCTAGTTTGTTGAGCAGCCTCTTGGGTGAAAAAACAGTGACAAAACGGTGGGAGGTTAGTGTGTATTGGTTCGAACTGATGTGCATGTTGGCCGAGCCAAGTATCTCCTTCTGTACTGTTTACTCGATAGTCAAATGACTTAAACCCGGTTGTGTAACTTTCACAGTATTCTTCATTTCTATCGTAAACTTTATCCAATTTTTTCTCACCACTGAGTTCTTGAGCAACATGTTTGTTTCCAGTCTTTTAAGTCGACAGTTTGTTCACTTAATGACCCTTCTTGATATAGTTTTTCCTTATCATTCTAATAATCGTATTTTCGTTGTGCCAGGTCTTGAATCATTCTTCGTTATTTCCGTTTTATTTTTGTGAAGCGTGGCGAACTGAGCAATTTTCAGTACCTCATGTACTTGAACACACAAGCCGGTCGTTCTTACAACGATTTGATGCAGTATCCGATCTTCCCTTGGGTGCTTGCTGATTACGATTCGGAGGAGTTGGATCTCACCTGCCCGGAGACATTCAGAGACTTCTCCAAGCCAATGGGTGCCCAAACTCCGCGTCGTTTACACCAGTTTCACCGACGTTTCAAAGAATGGGACGACCCAACAGGAGAGACTCCACCGTATTATTACGGCACACATTATTCGTCCGCTATGATTGTTGCCTCCTATCTGGTTCGAATGGAGCCATTCACACAACAGTTTCTCAGGCTACAGGTGGGGAACTTTTGAATAGTCTTTTCCTTCTGTGTTTGCAGGTGTTTTCAGCCAGGGGAATATAATGAACACACTCACTGCTAATGGTGCTTTTTTAAAAAGCGACTTATTTGGAGCGGTTTACCGTCGCGCACAACTTATCAGGGAGGGTGGTGCATCCCGTATGCTCTATGACAAGCCCGCTCAAGGGAGTGCAACCTGTATCATCACTCTTCCTATACACTCATTCCAGTTATTCAGTCTGGTTCACTCATTTCCTAAGGAATAACGCCTTGCCCGAGACCGGATATGTTTTATTCGTTTGGTTAACCTTAATCAGCCGAGGTTCCGCGCACACCTTGTATCGTTCGGCTAAGGCAGAGCGCATCAATTTCTAGCTCACTGTGTTCAATGAGCACTTAACTCCTGCCCTGTTCTCCTAGTATGAAGGTCTTCCGTAAACCTTATGAACCGTGATTATTTCATCATCGACAGCATGACATCAGTGTTCAACACCGGTGCTTCACTGCCGTACTCATGGTTGTACGAGGGCTGGGATACTGCCAGGGCGCCCACACCTAGAAAAGAGGACGATTAAGGTCCTCAACCAAAGCCTTCGGCTCAAAAGCCTAACCGCAAGGCAGCGGTGTTTGAAGGGGAATGCAAATGCATTACCATTTCTACGGAACAAGTCGCCACATGTTCCAGCCCCAAACCTGTAGGGCCAGGAGACTGTGAGTGTCACGGGACATTCCCCAGTATAACCCAATGGATCGCTGAGGTAGGCGAAAAGTCACATCACTGTAAGGTCCAATCTCTTTGTAATTATTTCGGCTCCCTATTTTTACTTGGTTTTGTAATTCAGCACATTTTTGTGGTTTCAGGGAGGGCATTTCGATTTACCGGATCGGATGTTCCACAGCGTGAAACACGCTTGGCTTAGTGCGAGCGAACAAAACATGGCCGATGTTCGCGAACTAATTCCGGAATTTTTTTACCTACCGGACTTTCTAGTCAACTCTAACCAATTCGAATTGGGGTTAAAGCAAAACGGACGGTCTGTAGACGACGTTTCCCTCCCCCCTTGGGCTAAGTCGGATCCCCGGGAGTTTATCCGAGCACATCGAGAGGTCAGTTGCCAGTCAACTAATAACACTGTGTGTTCGATGTCCTTGCATCTCATTCTCTCCTATATAACCTCTTGTATTCTCCTCAGCGTTTCAATACTGCTATGGTAATCCCCCTCCAGAAAAGAACATTGTGAAAAAAGGCCTTTTGGTTTCCTTTTTCGAAATAATTTCCTACTGCTGTGTGGCGAAATAGGGTCGTAGTCATTCAGTTTAATCTGTCCTCATGACCGTTAAACCACACAACGAATTAAATATATCCCATTTATTGACTGAACTGATGACCTCCTCCTCCTTACTTACTGGCTGGTAGCATCTTTTCAATAAGATCAAGTATGGACCAGAAATTATCAATATTCTTTGGTGAGATTCATACTAATTGGTCCCTGCGTTCATCAATGCACTGTCGTCGCTTGTCAGCATTATAGCTGACTTTTATCATAAAAGCATAAAACCACCTTTTTGCAACTTGCTTGTTGAAACGGTATGTTGGAATCACGATCCAACTGGGGTTGTTTCCATGTTACTCGTGTCTAGGATATGATGTACTAAGCTGTTGATCGGGCTCGAGAGGGCATTGGACACGGACTCAGATCTGACGATGAAACCCACTGGAGACCCCACAGGAGATGCGCCTCTTCACAGGCGGTGTCTGCTCCAGGCGTTACTGTATTCCTTAAAGGCGTCGGAGAATGATCTACTCTAAACCTTTTCAAAAGACAGTTTTACCCAATAGTCCCAGCTTCTCTGTGTTTGAGGAATCTCATGCTTCACACCTAGTTGTGCGTTCTCCGACGACCATCACTTCTTGGAGTGACGGCCCAGTACTGGAAGTCGATTGGATTCTGACTTGTAAACTTTGGTCCTGGAGATCTCTCTCATTGTAGACGGAAATGCTCACTTTTTCTGCTCGCAGACGATGAACTATCATGTAACGGAAACAACTGACAGTTGTTAGTCTAGTGGTTCCCTTCATGCTGAATCCCTTCCAGATGGTACAATTGAACGGTCTCATCTCTCCAGATAGGCCCAATGCGAGTCATCATTACTCGAATGCTTATGAAGGTAGGGATATTCATGCGCCATGAATGAGGAGGTATGGTTTAGAAGGACCCATATATTCAAATCATCCATTCCGTTCGTGTTGCTCTCTAATGTCTTCTGGGCTTTTTCCCACAGGCCTTGGAAAGCGAATACGTTTCTGCTCATCTTCACGAATGGATTGATCTGATATTTGGCCATAAACAGCAAGGAGATGCAGCGGTACTGGCTTACAATGTTTTTCACCACCTGTTCTACGAAGGAAATGTGGATATCTACTCGATTGACGATCCACTCAAGCGCTCTGCTGTGATTGGCTTCATTAACAACTTTGGACAAGTCCCAAAACAGCTGTTTCGCAAACCGCATCCTAGCCGCCGGATCGCTGTGCCTCGTGGTATATCAGCACTGTTCCTCGGATCTGCCAAGAAACCAACCTCAGGAACTCAGATTGCACAGGATTTGTTCTACCAAAACATTGACTGTCTGAGACCACATCTACAACCACTCAAAGGTGAGTCTACTGCTTGCATACAGCTAAAAAGTCTTTCTTGGGCTGGTGGTGCAGACGAGGTATTCTACAATATTATCCTCAAAAACGCCTCGCTGTAATCACACCGTTTCTTATATCGGGAAACTTCAGTATTGATAGGAAGGGGCTTTAACGCTATTGTGTCTCGTGAAAAGCTGTTCCATCCTGACTCGCTTTTGTCTTTCACTTATGTGAAGACTGCACTATTTTTTAATGCCGCTTCATTTATTTATATATTTATTCTGGCGCTTTTTCCGACCTAAAGATGCCACTTTGACGGGGTGGTCGGGCGTGAGTGCCGCAATGGTCCCTAGGGCTACGTTGGCTGGAACTTCGTTCCACAAGGTTCAACCCTGCCAGGAAAACCAAGTCAAAGACCGAGTCAAATCCCGTGCTACGAGGCGATCTGGGGGTAAAGTCATACTGTCCGTTCGGTAGGAGTGCGAAGGCGATCAGCATATCCTTATCCATGGAAGGAGTGATGTTGCCTTCTCTCGGAAAAGGACAGGTTAGAAAAAAACGCATATTCTGGTCGCCCAACGGTCGACTGTGACCGCCTGCGTATTATTCAGTTCGTTCGATATAGATTTAAAACCAGAGTTCTGTGCTGCTCAAAAGGCGCCTGGTCTGTGCAACCGCATCAGGATTAAGACAGTAATGCCCCGCTCCCTGTGTCCTCGGGTTTGGGCAACCTCCTGCAGCCGAGTTCAGGCTATTGAGTCGGCTCCGGGCAGGATCCTCAAAGAAAACTCTGCTGTCCGCTTCCCCATGGGTCAGACTTTTGAGTCGAAGGCTCAAGGCTGGGTACCTCAACCAAACCTCCTTCCTCGCCCTGAGCGATCGGGAAGTATCATTCGCCCGCACAGTTCTATGTCCACCGATGTCCCTTTCCACCAAACAAGCAAACGTCGCAGAGTCATTTGACTGTCAGTTATTTGACCGAAGGGGCTTCCCCACTGCTTTCCAACATTAAACAAAACAAAATCTTTCTAAATCAACGAGATCCTTTCTATGTAGTAGCTTTCAATGTACGTACTCTGCGTCAAATTGGCAAATGGACAATACTTGTTGAAACCCTGCACTTTCTTAAAATTGATGTATGCTGTGTCTGTAAAAAAACGCATACAAGACCCAAGCATGGTTATGCATCTCAGAACACCAAGGACGAACTCAGGTCTTTCAAATTTATCCGTGTGCCGGGTGATCCACAAGCGATGACCCGTAGTAGTGGGCACGTTGATGAAGCATGGGGAAATGTGAAAGCAGCTATGCTAGCGGTGTCCATTGCCGTCTGTCCGACCTCAGATACAATCAAATGACCACTAGATATAGTCGAGATCGCTGGTCGTGGGTGGTGCCAGAAAATCCATACCAGCACGCAACGAGTACAACAACGCACGCAAATTCCTCAGACGCCAAATAATAAAGAAACTAAGAAAAGACCGACAGCTCCGGTTGGCATCGAACGCTCGGGAGATGGAAAAGGCTTTTGCTACCGGAAGCAGCCCCGCCCTATACCAATTGATGCTATCTACTATTCCTAGGAGAGCAGGGGTCATTGAAACGATAAGTGGAAAAGGTGGCTCATTAATCCACTCACACCTCAAAGAACAGTTAAGCTGGCATCGTGCAACCCAGTCCGTGGAGATGGTGCATACGGGCGAATGGAGTGTAAACCTTAATCGCCCTGTGATAAAAAAGAAATAAAGAACGAAATATCATACTGAGACGCGTTATCAAGCCTTCTCATCAACTAGTTGGTACAATGATGTCGAGTCAGTTGACGTGCACTTTCCTGTTACAGCCCACCGAGCACACCGCTGTGTTTGTACGATCTTTAAAGCGGTAAACACTAATATAACTCACGATTCACCTTTGTAACGCTCTGATCTGGACATCAAACTCACGTATTTTAAGATACAGCACAGATTGTGTTTCGTCAACACACAATAACATGGATTAGAACGGTCGGTTTAGGCATCTAGTGAGACCGATTCGATACTTTATATGGACCGTAATTTAACAATAAAATTCAAGTGGCCTGACAAAGTCAAAGTATACTTCTTAGTGAAAAGGCTAAGAAAAGTTCACCATTGGAGGTTGATTCAAATTTCGCTGGATCATGTGTGCTATCTCACTGGCCGAGCAATTTATCAATATTTTTTACGAAACAGTATGGCTATTTTAAACTAATGTAATATACGTGATAATATACGTGGTGTTTTGTCCACATCTCAGTTTTTACTTGTTCTGACGTATTCAATTCCTAGGTACTTTCTTGTTACAGTTGTACCGGGTCCTGTTATAACAAGTGTTTTGGGATTCTAAACTCATGAGAAGGCTCTAGCGTCATTCTGAGCTGAGCTTTTGGTTTTTTTTCTCGGCTGTTTTATCTGGTGACTCTTTTCGTGATTTTCGCTCACTTGTTTCTGCAATCCCTACTCCACACATTTCTTACATAGAGCTGAAGCATGCTGTGGGTCAAATAGTCCAGCTTGATCCGAGTGTCATACCCAGTGGTAGCGGAGGGTCTGCTCCATCGTCTGCGGTAGTTCCCAGTGTCGGAGGAAGCAACACAGGCGGTAGTGCAGGGAGTGGTGTCAGCGTGGTTTTTACCGATGGTTTTTCAACTCCTCCTTGTAACAGTTCTGGTTCGATCACCTTGGTGGGTACCTCAATCGTGGCTGTCGAACAGAATAAGTGTCTGCTTCCACCACACCACACAGCCTATGTTGCCTGGGGTTTCACTGATGGCAGTCTGCGATTGAGCAGTCCGTTCGATCCACTCGACAGAGCCCGGTCCGTGTTTGAGATGGTTGACCAGGCAGAAATACTATGTTGTACTGCGCCGAATGACCGCATTTTGATCACAGCTGGAATAAGCACTGTGGTTCGCGTGTGGAAGGTGAGTGAGCTGTTCGGTTGATTAATCTTAATGTATGACCCCAGGAAGCACGTCTGTGGATCCTTGTTTCTTTCAGTTCCTCCTTTGAATCGTGATGCTGTCAAAATCAATCAGAATGTTGTAGGAATAAGTTGCTTGGATGACCGTCCGTCTTTGTGGATTAAGAGTGTTTTGAAGGATGGTCGTTATCGAAACCGATGGTTACGATGGCTACAGATTTTTGGGGTTAGCGAGTACATGGTCTCAACAGGAGCAAAGTTTATGAAAACTGTTTATCGGCACACAGCAGAGGGTCAAGTGGTCGAATTAAGGCTGTTCCCATAGGTAGGATTTTAGTGAAATTTTCACGGCATGGAAATCTGCCTTTTCCTCTGGTATATCGTGAGAGATCTTCTGCTTGAAAGATATGCAGAACAACCAGAAGCCTGGAGGTAAACCATACGAGAAGCTGATCGTTGTATTGGTCGCCCTGGGCAATCTTTCTATACGGTGTGCAAAGGCTACTCGAGTTCAGGTCTGGCGTAACCATAGAAGAGAAACCATTATGACCCCTCTAAGCAAGCAGATCATTTGAAAAGTTCCTTACGCAGCCATAAGTCCTATTGCTCAGCAATAGGTTCACAACTCTTCCTTCTCACTCACATGAGTGTTCATCACCTTCTTTTATGTTGTTACATTACAATAATATCGGAAAAACACTCCAGTTCAATTCGAATTGGTGATACAAGTAACGGAAATGTGGCTAAACGTCTAAAAAGAATCCACCACCCTAATTCCATCCGACCTCGGTATGGCGTGACTCCATATAACGATTTATCAGGTTGCCTAGCGAAACCTTATTCCACACTGCTGGTATTTGCGCAAGCCACCCCCGAGTTGTATTTTTCTCAACCGAACCAAGTTGTCGGTGGGCGCTTAGCATAATACAAAGTTGAGTTACAATTTCCATAGGGAAACTTAAGTCATTTCTATGCAGGACAACCTGCAACTGTAAAGACATTTTCATTTCTGCTTCAGAGAGAAAACAAGAAAACTCCGAAACGTTAAGTTGTTCTCCATTTAAGGCCTCGAACTTGATCCTCACTTACAATCATGCGCCGTATTTGTGTTATGGAATGACTCGCTTGCATAAAGGAAAGATGATAATGTTGACAAATGCTTAACTACGTTCGGACTTCCTTAGTCTGATGAACACCAGCGTTGACGACTGATGACACGGTCAGTGTGTGCGAATAGATCGTCACATCTCACATCATTCCATGGGTAATAATCAATCATAGTAGATTAATCATAGTGATAAAAACCCAATGATTTGCTTATCCAGAGTACTTATCCAGAGTACTTATTCAGAGAACTTTTAAACATAAATACTTACTCTCACACCCTAACATAAACCCTCTGGGATGATACTCACCGCCCAATCTGGGCCGGTTATCTTGAGCATTGTCTTTATGCTGTATTCTCTTTGGGAGTTATTCAGTTATTTGAAAACTAGAAATACCTCCTGTTTAGTTCTAGGAAGTTTGTTTTCTCGAGGTAAGTTTGTAATGGATCGAATACTACCTGTAATAGGTAGTATAGGAATATTGTAATAGGAATATTGTACCTAGTTTGTGCACTTAATTTGGACGAAAGATCCCCTTGCTTCAGGGCGCATCCCACATGCAAAGAGACTGATTGCAGTTCATTTACACACAGGCTAATATTGAGTTAATAGCACTCACCATAATATTATTATTCTCTGGGTTGGATACCTGTTAAACAATCTGGGTCAATTTCTTGTAAGCTATACGTTTACAGTACGCTACCACCGGTTACGCGTCTGGTACCATATCACATCGTCCCTAGTCATCGGCATATCCGTTCATGCGTTTACCATTACACACGACTGTTGTTGCTGGTTTCCTTCTACACGCTTCAGTGTCAAGTGTGTTCGGAGTTGTAGCCGAAACATTCACATTGTTCAGTCGACAGAACGCAATACGATGCGGTGCTAGTTGTTACAAAGCGAACAAGTGATCGTTAAATTGAATCCCTATTTCGATTGATGCTCAACACTTTTATAGGTAAACGGATGCTCAACTGCTAACAGAATGTCAGAAGCCTGCACCTAACCAGTCACATGGAATCAGCCGAATTTTGTTGACTGGTTCTGTCCTGTTTTTGTGTCTTACTGAACGGTAGTGCGATTCTGTATAGGTCCCTTAGCTTCCTGTTCCGCCCACTATGGTATATGAAAAGGCAAGGTAGCTCTACACAGTCCCTTATGAAGACAAAGGGAAATTGTTACAACTGTATTTATGGGGTATTCACAGTGTTCCACAAGGTCATGCCAGAATCTCCGTGAGTGGGCGAGAAGCGTCAAGTCAAAGATGCTCGATCCGGAATGGCTAACATTCTGACCAATCAGGGCATGTCTTCGTTTGGTCGGTGTCCTGCACGTGACATCCGTCCAAATGATGTGATGTTCGATTATCAGGGACGGCTGGCCTCCGGATACCTATGTAAAGTCACCACGGATGGGGTTGTTTTGGGTTTATTGAACCTAACTTTCCTTTGGGGAGTGTTTGTGAATGTGAATGAGTTCACCCTAAGTGGATCTACGTGAAACTTTGCAAACATTGTACTTTCCTAAGAAACACAACCATCTTAGACTGTAGCTGAGATATCCAATGAAGACTATGTTGAACTCCGCCAGATTTCTTCCTATTTACATTCTCACCAAAATTCCTGAGTCTTCCAGTTATCAGGACGAACTTGCAATGTTGCTTATGATTCCGTGTGTGGTCGCTCCTTCGTACCAAATCTAACTCGGAACGAAATCTTGGTGATACACGTTCGTTTTTTTTCAAAGTTCAGTTGAAAGTATGTATTTCGGCACCCAAACTTCCGTTAGACATTTGTACACTGATGAATGAGCGTACTACTTTTGGGCTTATCTATAGCAGCACTGCAGAGGCTATTGCTAAAGAAACAACAGAACACATACTTCAAGCACAAACTGATTCAATTATTACTGGGTTCGTGAATCTGCAACCTTATACCTTCCCCGAAACCCCGCCATCTCGTCGCAGGAAGTATTCCTTACAATTTGGAAACCATTAGCATTTTGGTGCAACCGAAACAAGACCAAACTTCCACTCGGACCGATCGAGTTTTTTTCGAACACAGTATGGTGGCGCCACGCTTTTCTACTTCATAATCTGTCTTGTCCGTTCACTATAGCCCAGGTTACTGGGATGAGAGCACTGGTTTCGCGGGTCCCATTCGGTGTTACAAAAAACAGTTCATGTGATATACAACTGTATTACCTAGTGACGATTAAGTCATTCGTGTTTCCGAACGAGGGACTTCTTAGCCTTACAAAGCATAAGGCTTCAGGGAACTAAACGATGACATTTCCTTACACTTCACGTCCAGTGTGTCCTGTTTGTGCTTGTACTTAAATTTGGGAGGTGCTCATTGTGGATCAAACCCTCGAGAAGAGTAATTCCAAAAGTAAAGCGATTTTATGCATCGTTTTAGATTTTCTGTCCACATCACTGCTGCAACAATTGCACAACCTCTGCTTTCATAAAATCAACCGGGTGGAAAATTGTCCGGCTTCCAGATGGATGGAAATGTTAATCTGCCCAATGAATGTTGGTGATAATGCTTAAATAGCTAATTTGTTGGCTTTTTTGAAAGGTATAACAAATGGCACCCAATCACTCCTGAAAACCGCCGGTAGCATTTACTCACGAAACAACTGCTGCTAAACGACACCGTGAATTCGTCCACATAAGGAGAAAGATCAATACAGAGTCACGTTACTCCTTCGGTATGTGTATGGATTTTTAACACACGCCGGAATACTTGATTCATTCAATATGGGAACCGCTACTATGAATGACCGGATGAGTTCATCACCATTTTCACAATCATCATCATCACTGACATCATCACCACAATCATCGTCATGATCATCATCACCATCATCAGCATTACCGTCATCATGATCACCACCATCATCATCATCATCAACATCATTATGCTAACCAACATCATCATCATCATCTCCACCCTCATCATCATCATCACCATCATCATGATCACCACCACCACCATCTTCATCATTATCATCATCACCACCACCATCATCATCATCATTATCAGCATCATCATCCCCATCATCATCATCACCTGCATCGTCACCATCATCATCATCGCCACCACCACCATCATCGTCATCATCATCACCATCATAATCATCACCAGCGTCATCAGCATAGTCATCATCACCATCGTCGTCACCATCATCATCAGCTCCATCACCACGATCATCATCATCACCACCATCATCACCATGATCATCATCACCATGATCATCATCATCATCACCACCATCATTGTCAACATCACCATTATCTTCATCATTATCTTCATCATCACCACCACGACCATGATCACCAATGTCATCATCATCATCATCACCACCACCATCAACATCATCACGGCTACCATTTTCATCATCATCGTCACCATCATTATTACCACCATCATCATCATCATTATCACCATCACAATCATCACCACCACCATCAACATCATCGTCATTATCATCACCACGATGAATATCATCATCACCATCATCGTCATCACCATCATCATCATCATCATCTTCATCATCATCATCATCATCATCATCATCATCATCACCATCTTCAACATCATCACCACCGCCATCATCGTCATCGTTAGCATCATCATCATCCTCATTATCATCACCAACACCATCATCACCATCATCATCATGAGCACCACCCCCGTCATCATCACCATCATTAAATCGTCATCATGATCACCATCATCGTCATCATCACCAACCTCTTCATCACCATCATCATCATCATCATCACCACAATCTTCCTCCTCAACACCACCACCATCATCATCACGAACACCATCCTCCTCATCATCACAATCATTATCATCGCGGTTCTCATCATCATCACCATCAT